AAGAGTTGGTTGTCATTGACCATCAATGACGGCGAGATCTAGCTTTTTCCGGCCAGATCCACCACAGATCTGGCCAAAATGGCTAGATCGGTGAATAGACAACCAGTTCCAGTCGTTTTTAGGCCGTTGTGACAGATTCCGGCCACAACTGATGGTAGTTGCCGGAATCTGGCAACTATGGGTGGGTGGGGTTATTTTTGTTAATTTTTAAACTTTTTTTTCTAGGGGTGTTTAATTAAGTTAATAAACTTAAGGGGTCTAAAAGTAATTAAAAAGTAGAATAGTATTTCCCAAAATAATTAAACAAACAAGTATTTTGGGAATAGGATAAAGAATAAGGTTTGAAATAATAAAACACGCAAGCCCTTAATTATTTATATCTAGTAATCATCTAAAGGGCATTTTAGTAAAAAGGTATTTCAGGACATCTATTATTACTATCAACCAAACACAGTAATTATTAATACATCCCAATTGAACCAAGTACAATAATAATTTAAACCCGGTAATCTACAATGTAATCTTTCTTTCCGGCAATCTTATTATTAAGATAAAAAAACATTATATGATCCAAACGCCCCTACAGTGTTTACTGTTAGTAATATTGGGGGTAATCAGATTACCTTCCTAAGGGGTGTTAATATAAGATGAGTAATACTACACATACATCATTCTCATACAACATTATGTGGCAAGATATGATTGACTAATTTAAAGTTAAAATTAAACTTTCACCCAATCATATCTTGCCACATAATGTTGTATGAGAATGATGTATGTGTAGTATTATTCATATAAAATTATCGAGGTAATCTTAATTTTGACTATATTTTGCCCTTAATCTTTTATCATGTATGACACATTTGCTTTCATATTTTTACCAAATAACAATTAGCCCAGACCCCCTACATTTGAAAATATAGCTAAAACACTCCAGCCATAAAAAAGTTTAAAAGTTAACAAAATACCCCTAGCCACCCTAGACCACTACCGGCCATCGGCAAAAGTCATCATATCGGGGCAAGATCGACGAGATCTTGCTGGTCGTGTGCCGGTAAGGACATTTTCGGCCATAGATTTGTGATCCATGGCCGAAAACGACCAGATTTGGCCATTTCACGGCCAAAGATGTGGTCGTGAAACATCATAAATCTGGCTGTGAAAAGGCCAGATCTTTAGTCGTGAAATAGCCACCGTTTCATGGCCACATCTTTGGTTGTGAAACAGCCATATTCATGACCAGATCTAGCCGTTTTAAGATCCATGAAGGATTAGGCCTTATCGACGCACGATCAGCTAGATCCGGTCGGTCGTGCGCTATTACTGTGGCTGTCGGTGGTAGTGGCTGGCTGTCGGTAGTGGCTTGGGGTGGGTGAGGGTGATCTTGCTACAAATTAAAGTTTTATGTGGTTAGGATGTTTTAGCAAAATTTCAAATTAAGGGCTTAAAAGAAACAATTTAAAAAATAATAGAATAAAATAATAATAAAAATAATATTATATTATTATTTAAACAATAATACTATACTTACAAAAAAATCTTAAAAATGTTTCCATACAAAGTGAGGTGGCAAAAAATAAATGAAGGGGGCGTTTGGTTCAGGAATGTTAGATTATTGGGAATGTTGGATAACTGGAAAGATAGATTACCTTGGAAGATTACTTGGAATCTTTAAAAAAATATGTTTGGTTAGTTGATGGGTATGTTATATTAATATGTTTGGTTATGGGAATAGATTAGTGGGTATGTTATTTAAATTACTAAATTGACCCTTTTTTAAATATTAATATAATATTATTTTTATTATTAATTTTTGAATAATTTCTTTTAACCCCTAATATTTCAGATTTAGCTAAAACACCCCCGCTTATAAAAAATTTTAATTTATGACGAAATCACCCCCACCTCCTGCCGCCACCGGAAAATCGTCGGAGCCCCTAAAAAAGAAGAAAATTCTGTGGGAGGCTCTGAAAGGCTTCGTTATGGCCGTTTCCGGCCATATTGATGGCTGAAAACGGCCAGATCTGGCCCAGACCTGGCCGATAATGGCCAGGGATTTGGCTGTTAACGGCCAGATCTGGCCTGATATGGCCGTTTTCGGCCATCAATATGGCCGAAAACGGCCATAACGAAGCTCCCTGGAGCCTCCCACGGAATTTTCTTCTTCATTAGGGACTTCGGCAATTTTTCAGCGGTGGTCCGTGGTGGTTGGCCTGCTGTCGGCGGTGGTGGCTGGGTGGCAGTGGTGGTCCGTAAATAAGTTTAAATATAAGGGCATTATTGTCCAAAATTTTAATTAAACAAGGGTAAAATTGAAATAGGATATTAATGTAAATTTGTTTTAAAGTAGGGGTATTATTGTCTAAAACTTTTATTAATAAGGGATAAAATTGTAACAAAAAAAGATAACCCTGGTAATCTCATAATACCTAAGAAAATGGAGGTAATCAGATTACCTCTGATATTACCAATAGTAACCACTATTGGTATTTGAAGATTACCGGTATCTGACATTACTTGACAACCAAACATGGTAATCAAGTAATATAAGATGACATTACCCCAGTAATCCCACTTAACTCCCAACCAAACGCCCCCGAAAGAGTGAAATAAAAAGTCAAACTCATTAAATTCACTCTTCCATTAATTTTTTGCCACATCACTTTGTATGAAGATCTTTGTAAATTTTCTTTGTAAGCGTAGTATTACTCTTATTTAAAAAGGAGGGCAATTTAGTAATCTATATAACATACTCACTCATTTATCCTCCCAGCTAAACATAGTATTATAACATACCCACCAATTTAAAGTAACCAAACACATTTCTCTAAAGATTCCTTGGTAATCTATCTTTCCAGTAATACAACATTCTCCTGTAATACAACATTCTCTGAACCAAACGCATCTTATATATATTCCAACATAAATTTGGGTGACCAATTCTCGGATTTTTTGTATTTTATTTAATATATTTTAACTAAAATAATAAATGTAATAAGAGGCTACACTTGGATTTGAGTGGCAATACCAGGGCTACAATCGAGCCAAGCCAAATTGAGTATTGAGAAGCTCGAGCTTGACTTGACTGGAATAGTAGAAGCCTCGAAGGTCAAGCTCGGGACTGAGTTTTATAAATATATGATCAGCTCGAGCTCGAACTTGAGATCGACTCGGTTATAATTGAGTCAAAATTAATTAACTTATTAATTGTTTTAATTTATATAATATTAATATAAAATTAAAATATTGTATAATATGTTGAGCTGGAGTAGGCTTATGAGCTGCTCAAGTCGAGTATTGTTAAGCTTGAACTCAGCTTGACATGACACGGTAGCTACTTGACCTCGAGCTTGGCTCGAATTAAGCCCAAACAACTCGTGAGCTGCTTGTCTCGTTTGCACTCGTAGGTAAGTTGATACCCACCCCAAGCCTAAAGCATATTTTGTCTCTATTTCAAAATACTAAATAATATCGATTATTGAAATCAATTTGAATTCTTTAAAGGTATTAAATTTTTTAAAAGTTATTTTTGAATTACAAATAAAAAACATTATATATAATTGTGGGGGTCAAAAATCACTTGGGGCCTATCAGGCCCAAATAGACATTTTCTACTACAACGGCCTAAGGACACGATCCAACTCTGGTTGGGCCAGCATCAGATTTCATGATTTGGGCCAAAACTTGTGGCCCAAATCTAGCCTTCCTCCCGAATAGGCATCATCAACAGCCCACTTAAGGCCAGACCTCCGAAACGAGGTAAATAAGATTCTTTCTATTTGATTCTATCCTAATTTGCCCAAAATTTCGTATCTTGAATAAATTAAGACTCTTGCTACTAATAAGGTAAGTGAATCAGAATTTTTCTTATTTCATTAGACCTCTTCCTTTATGGATTCAGAATCCTATTAGGATACGAAGATCCCACAACTATTATATAAACAAGGGTCACCCCACTATTTAGGGAGTAAACGATATATTCCCACCTAAGGTTTAGTGAAATCCTAGGTTGGTACCCCTAGTTTTATAAATTCCAGATTCCCACCCTTACATGGAAGTCGTTAGTGATGGATAGGTTGTGACACAGGGGCAAAGGGTTCTTTTACCAAATTGCCCTTGAACCTTCTTCTTCTCCATCTCCCCTCCTCTTCTTCATTGTTGCCAGCCTTTTGACTGCTTCCCCTATTCGGTGAGATGGGTTTTTGTCAAAGAGATGCCCCTTGAGTTGCAAACACTTCTCCCAGCTGCCGCAAAAGCCAACTCTAGTTGTCCTTGCACATTGGATCATGACTATCGAGCAAATAGGTTGTGGATGGTTGGGTGGGTAGTTTTATTGAACAACCTGTGGGCAATGTATTTCAGGTAGATCTTGTGGGAGAGCACCTAAAAAGACCATTTTAACCTTCAACGGTGAAAAAAAAATGTAACAGCATCCATTTAAGGGTAGGAATATGGAATTTATGAAATCGGGGGTACCAATCTAGGATTTCACTAAACCTTACGTGAGAATATGTCATTTACTCCTATTTAGGCATCAACATTACACCTTATAATCCCTTAGTTCTTATTCTTGAGAGCTATATATCGTCACCGTGGTTTTAGTTTCCGACTAAGCTACTGGTAACCTTTTCTTTCCCTTACCTTTATCAAAAAGTCTTTGTTATTCTTACTGACTTGAGCGTCGGAGTGCTTACGAGAAATACCACCTCGGTGTTTTCCGTTTGCTTCACGTTAATTCCTTTATGTGTGTAGGAGCAACAGATTGTCAGTGGCCTTAACTTCACATCTCAACCTCACATTATTTGTTATTCTTTCCACAACAGTAGATTTTAGCGTTTACAATAATACAAATTCATCGTTTGTTATTATATTGCTATGTACACATTTTTATTTTACAAATATATAATAATCCAATTTGTAAAACGGGTCGCAAATCAGATGGGCCGGAGCCGCTAAAACCCGAAACTTGGTTCATCATAGTTTCACTTGCTCGTTCTCTCTCCTACTTTTCAATTTTTTCTTCTCAATTGATCTCCTACCCGGTTTCTGCCTCCTCGTTGGATCTAAACTCAAACCCCCTTTTTCTATTGACACTCACCGTCACCACTCTCTGCTTCTTCGATCTAAATCAACATCTTTAGTGCTTTTTTTTGTCAACCCAGACTTACTGCAGGTCCGCTTTCACTGATTTGCCATCTGGGTCTGGCTTTTTTGTCTCTACTGATTACTGAATCAAAATTCTGTAGCTATCTCACGTGACTTCTTCTCTGATCAGGTAATTTTCCGAATCTTCCACGCCACTTTTATGTTTCAGTGAGTGAGGGATTCTACGTTTGATCTATGGTTTTTGTGAACTGGGATTTGTTTTTGGATCAATTTGGCAATTGGGTTCTCGTTATTTTTACGTGAATTTTTGTTATTGTTTTCGTTTTATTGTTTTATTTGAATTTGTGTTCGGGAATTGGCAGCTGGGATCGATAGTTTTCATGTGAATTTGTGTCATTTACAGAAATTTGCAATTGGGTGTGGAGAACTGTTCTGATGACTTAATTTACGCATTGCATCAATAGTTTGAAACTTTGTAGGGTGACCAGGATTGACCTTTTCGTAGTTTAAATATTTGGGCTTGTAATACTGCATGGACTGAAAGTTTCATCGTTAAACAGGTGGAGTATTGATGATATTTTTTTTTTTCAGGAAAGAATGACGTTAGCCTTCTCCTATGAACGTGTATTGATTAACAGATAGGATTGTGGGTAGGATAGAGCTTAAGCTTTTTTTTTGGGCTAAGAAAATGGTGAGTGGTGAAGTAAGTTGATTTGGAATGTTTGTGTCAAATTTTGGGTCCAACCAGGTAGAAATTGTCTTTGGGCCCCTGCCCGCACGGGTTTGCTTTTGGGCAGGGAATCCTAGGTTCATTAGCTTGTTGATGTGGGTGGGATGTGGCAGTTTGATAGAGCTTTAAAACGAACTACATTCTCTATTTTACACTTTTGATAGAGTTTCTAGCTTTGTTGGGTGAGCACTGAGCAGCGTAAAATGTAGTTGCCGAGCAAAGAAAAGCCAAATCTAATTGTAGATTTTGATTCTAAAATTTTCAACTCATGAATTGCAGTGATTTATTCCATCGTTTTAGAAATGTGAGAACTGATTATCATTGTTATTATTACGGGACTACTCAGTTATTAAAAAAAAAAAAAAATTGGTTACAGCTCAGAAGATAAAAATTTTCAACCGTTTTCTGTTTCTTCATGACTTAGATACTATGCCTTTTCCTATGGGCAATTATTTAAATCTTTTTTCCATGTTTTCAAAAATATTGCTTTCTTTGTTAATAGCAAAGATGCGTGTGTTCTATCTATCATTTAGAATTCTATCGACACTCAGATATTCTGGGCTATTATGAAATGAATCTTTATTCTGTTTGTCAGATTGTTGATTTGTGTGTTTTGGCAGGTTTAGGTGATGGAAGCTTGACTGTAGCAATTGGACCAAGTAATATTAATCAAATCCATGGGGACAGAAAATCCTGGTCGTCCAAGTTTTTCTGTAAGACCTTCGTCTGCACCTCCAACGGCGACACCGTTTCCGTCATCTGGTCCTCTGGTTGGACCGGAGGCCTCTAGTTTTAGGCCTACTCCACCTGCCCCTCCTCAGGCTACTGGGCCTTTTGTGTCATCTGGGCCACCAGTTGGATCGGATGGCTCTGGTTTCAGACCTACTGCACCCCTGAGGTTCAATGATCCGTCTGTGTCTTCTACACCAACAACATATATCCCACCCACTGCTGGACCTTTCCAGCGTTTTCCTACACCGCAATTTCCTTCAACAGCCCAAGGTCCACCAGCACGTGCTCCACCTGTTGGCCCACCACTGGTTCAGCCATTTGCTAGTCAAGTTTCAACTCCTCCAGTTTCATTTCGTCCACAGCCTCCTTCAGTGCCGATGGGATTTCCAGCTCAAAGAGCAAATTTTGCACCACCTAGTATGAATGTTCCTCAAGCCTTTTCTGATTCATCATTCTCAGCCCCGAGGCCAAGCTCTCAGCCTTCATTTACTCCTGTGGATTCCTCATATTCTTCTGCAAGAGCTACTTTGCAGCCTCCTTTGCCTGGATATGTGAATACACAGCCTAATGCAGTTGCCCAATTGCCAACTATGCCATCTTCTTATCCTTCTTATCCAGGAAGTTATGTACCTCCCCCACCAACATCAGTTTCTTCTTTTCCTGCTCATCAGGGAGGTTTCACCCCACCTATGTCAGCAGCAACCCCACCAGGCATGCTTTCCCAACATCCAGGGCCTCCTGGTGGTGTCATGCAAGGTTTAGCAGAAGAATTCAGTTCTCTCTCTTTTGGGTCTCTTCCGGGATCAATTGAACCTGGAGTTGATTTGAAAGCATTACCAAGGCCATTGGAGGGGGATGTGGAGCCAAATTCATTTGCTGAGATGTACCCCTTGAATTGCCATTCTAGATATCTAAGGCTTACTACTACAGCAATACCAAATTCCTCATCTTTGGTTTCAAGGTGGCATTTGCCTCTTGGGGCAGTTGTTTGTCCTCTTGCTGAAGCTCCTTCAGGGGTTAGTCTCTGTTTTCAAACAAAGTTGAATTTTGATGTACTATAGTTTGCAGTTATTGGAGTTTTATTTTATTTTCCATTAATATCTACTCTTTTTTCTATCAGGAGGAAGTGCCCATTGTTAATTTTGCTTCAACTGGGATTATCCGTTGTCGAAGATGTCGGACATATGTGAATCCTTATGTGACATTTACTGATGCTGGACGAAAGTGGCGTTGCAACATCTGTTCTTTACTTAATGATGGTAAGCCCCAAAAATTTCATAGAAACAAAGATTTGATATGAAGCATGAATTGGCTCTGTAACCAACTTCTGTCAGCCATTACTTGGAATCTCTGATTACTAGTTGGCTTAGTAGAATAATTTAATGTTGATAATTTTCATATGCTCAATGCTTATTAATTATATTTTGTCATTTTTTCTTTGGTTTTAATATTTTTTCTCTTAAGTTTGAATGCCATGACCTGATGTTTTGCTAAATAATGATAAATTACGAGGTGAAGTGTATTTTTATTGAGATGATTTGTTCTGAATCTGTTTGCATTATGGTCTTCATGTCCGTGTATACAACTTGTGGCAGTTCAACTGATTTTGACATTTATTTTTCAACTATAATTGATTGTGTTATATTGCAATAAATTGTTGCATGCTTAATTTATATCATAAATGATTTTTGGCTTTATATTTGTTAATTATTTTGCAATTACAAGTTTACCTAATTTATTAGAAAGTGGTTGTTTGGTGGTAATTTCCTGTATTCTTTTCTGGGGCAAGGGATAGTTGCTAATTGACTTCAATTTTTTGTTCAGTTCCAGGTGATTATTTTGCCCATTTAGATGCCACTGGCAGAAGAATTGATCTAGATCAGCGACCTGAACTTACGAAGGGTAGTGTGGAATTTGTTGCTCCTACTGAGTATATGGTGCGGCCTCCGATGCCGCCTCTGTACTTTTTTCTCATTGATGTGTCAATATCTGCAATTAGAAGTGGTATGCTTGAGGTAAGCACTTTCAGCTTAGGATGTGCTAACATAACCATAAAATGTTGGGGCTCTTTCATCTGATATATGTTTGCTGCATTTTTATCTGAAGTAGTAACACTCAGGTTGTTTATCTTTCATTTGTATGCGTTTGTTAAGATGGCCTTTTAGAATCTCCTAAAATATTAGGAATAAATTTTTAGCATATTTTATAATTGTATGCTTTGCTAGTGGTAGAATAATAAAGATTGATCACAGTTGGCCTGATTTGGGCATGTCCAGAATTGATATGTTAATGTTTGCAAGTAAGAGGCCCAAGTCTTGGCTAGTGTATAAATGGATGGGATGAATTAATAATCCAACGGGCATTTGGTAAGGTTTGCAAGTATAACTGAATATGGGAATGATGTTAATATTTTCCTCTCATTTGGGTGATAATTCATTTGGTTCTCATATTAAAACATGAATTTCTTTGACTTTTGTGCAGGTTGTGGCTGAAACTATTAAGTCATGTTTGGATGACTTGCCAGGCTTCCCTAGAACACAGATTGGATTTATTACTTATGATAGCACTATCCATTTTTATAATATGAAGGCAAGTAACTTGGATCATCTTAAAATTGTTTTTTTCATGTACTTCTGTCATTTTTTCAGTTTCAAACAATTTATCATGCTGATTTTGTTTTTTGGTTTGCCTATGCAGTCTTCTTTGACACAACCTCAGATGATGGTGGTCTCTGATCTAGATGACATATTTGTCCCCTTGCCAGATGATCTCCTTGTCAACTTGTCTGAATCTAGAAGTGTGGTGGGAACATTCTTAGATAGCTTACCAACCATGTTTCAGGACAACGTCAATGTAGAGTCTGCTTTTGGTCCAGCTCTTAAAGCGGCATTCATGGTTATGGTTTGTATAGTTGTCTCCATTACTTTGAACTTCTACAATTGATAGTTCTTTTTCTCCCTTTAAAGTTTTTGCTGGTGATTACATTTCCAGCATAATGTGGCTTTTGATTAAGGTATTATGCCATTATAAAATAGTTTGAACTATGATGACCTTGGTAATTCATTCCCTTTGTATAATTTCTCTTTCTGTGTGTTCACAGAGTCGACTTGGAGGAAAATTGCTAATATTTCAGAACAGCCTGCCTTCTCTTGGTGTTGGGCGTTTGAAGTTGAGGGGAGATGATGTTCGTGTATATGGGACCGATAAAGAACATGCATTAAGAATACCTGAAGATCCCTTCTATAAACAAATGGCTGCTGATTTGACCAAGTTCCAGATAGCTGTGAATGTGTATGCTTTCAGTGACAAATACACTGATATAGCCTCATTAGGTAAGTGGTGGTTGTTTTAGGCTTATATTATTGCAAGTTATGGGAACTGGACAGAGTCCATCCTGATTTTTGAATTTAGTAGCAGTTCGGTTGATATTTTTTTCTCATATAGGTACTTTGGCAAAATATACTGGAGGTCAAGTGTATTACTACCCCAACTTCCTGTCATCCCTTCATGGAGCTAAGTTGACACATGAGTTATCACGAGATTTAACCAGGGAAACTGCTTGGGAGGCTGTCATGCGCGTAAGATGTGGAAAAGGTCAGCTCATTTTGATATATGAGAGTCTTTTCTGTTTAAGACACATACACTTGCAGTCATTTATGGTTATCATGTAGAGAGAGCTGATTCTTTTTTGTCTTTGGTGCTTCTAGGGATTCGGTTTACGTCTTATCATGGGAACTTTATGCTGAGGTCCACTGATCTATTAGCACTTCCAGCTGTAGATTGTGATAAGGCATATGCAATGCAGTTATCTCTTGAAGAGACTTTACTGTCAACTCAGACAGTATATTTTCAAGTTGCTTTGCTGTATCCTCTTGAGTTAAAAGTCGGCATCCATTTGAAATCCAAACTACAAATAGATGAATATGTGATGGCTCTGCATGTTTAAGAAATGTGAATTGATTCTGCTAAATAAAAATTCTACTGAATTGGTTTCTAATATGTAGGTACTTAAGAATCTGATTACATGCCTTTTCACACCCAAATATTAGTTTTACATCGTTAATTTTGAATTTATTTGTCATTTGCTTGTGGAATTTTGGAGTCAGTGAGAAAGAATAGCTGAATAAGAAATAGAGAAAGTATGCCCCATTCTTAAGATTGGTCTAGATTAATCATTTGCTGGTTTTTTTTTTTCTTATTAGATAACCTTTTTCTAGCATTTATGTACTTGGGGCCGTTTCCTGTAAAATATAATTGAAACTCAATGTTATTTTCTTTTGAATTGTCAACTAAGACTTAATCTGTTTCCTGTTCTGAATACTTAGAGATATTGCCTTCCATCCAAAATTTGTTTTAGGGATTAGATTCTCTGTTTTTTAATTTTCTTTTCTCCTGTTTGAAATTTTGATTTCTCATATTTCCTCAACTTTTCTGTATGACATTGTTCCTCACTGCCGTTTTCCCCCCCTTGTATTCTTGCTTTAACTTCCTGTAGTGAGTGATTGTAGTTTTTTGACTAATGAAAGAATAAATCAGTTTTTCTTGTTTTGTTTTGTTTTTTTATTTTTTTAATTTGATTGCCAATATTGGTGAGGTAGTATTTTTTGCATGAAAAAAAAAAAAAAAAAAAGGTTGCAGTTACTGATTTTTCTTTGACAATTAAAAGATACACTGCATCTTGCGGAGAGAGGCGTATCCGGATACATACTTTATCAGCTCCTGTTGTTTCAGATCTAAGTGAGATGTATCGTCAGGCAGACACTGGTGCCATTGTTTCTTTATTTTCTAGGTTAGGTAGGTTGATCTATAGCTATGCTAGTACTGTCATGTGTAATCAATTTTGTTTTCAGATTGGTTCTTGATTTTATGTTTTTGTCAATGAACCCGAAATAATTTGCAGCAATTGAGAAAACATTATCACATAAGCTGGAAGACGCACGGAACGCTGTGCAGCAAAGGATTGTCAAAGCTCTGAAGGAATATCGGAATCTCCATGCTGTGCAGCATCGCTTGGGAGCCAGGATGATATATCCTGAATCTCTGAAGTACTTAACTTTGTATGGTTTAGCACTTTGTAAATCAACACCACTTCGAGGAGGATATGCTGATGCTCCACTTGATGAACGCTGTGCAGCAGGTTACACTATGATGGCATTGCCTATTAAAAACTTGTTGAAACTCTTGTACCCCAGCTTGATACGAGTTGATGATTTTCTCTTAAAGGTAAAAGAACTTTTTGCAGCTAAACTTCTTAAATAATAATGTAAGTTTAACAAAAGTAACAGTTTGCATTTGATGTATGCAGCCATCTGGTGACGTTAAGGAGCTTTTAGACAACATGAAGAGGTTACCACTGGCTGCAGAGAGCCTAGATTCTAGAGGACTTTATATATATGATGACGGTTTCCGTTTTGTTATATGGTTTGGTAAAATGCTCCCGCCTGATGTAGCTATGAATCTGCTTGGCCAAGACTTTGCGGCTGAGCTATCCAAGGTATGCTATGTTATTTTCGTAGACCATACTGAATGGTATCGGTATTTTGTGTTTATTATAAGGTCATTTTTGATAATTGTTTAGAGTTTAAATTATCTTCTGGATAATGAGGATACCAACATGGATGTTGATCTTGGATATACATACATACATACATACATACATACATACATATATATAAACTTTTACTCGAGTTTATAAAATAACTGCAAGTTGGGGTTTGTATTATGTAGTGATAAAGTGGGCTTGGGTAAAACTCACTCCCAAAAGCTAGCTCAAGGGAGGAGGGAGCCCAATCACTTATATACACCATAACAGCTCACTATTGGGGCGATGTGGGACAAATTCAACTTCTAACACCCTCCCTGACGCTCGACGTGTAAGGCCGGGATCCAAACCCATCATCGCTCCAACCAAAGAGGGGAGCGAAACAAACGTAGCTCTGATACCATGATAAAGTGGGCTTGGGTAAAACTCACTCCCAAAAGCTAGCTCAAGGGAGGAGAGAGCCCAATCATTTATATACACCATAACAGCCCACTATTGGCGCGATGTGGGACAAATTTAACTTCTAACATGTAGGTTGTGATAATTTGTAAATTAAAAGACCTAGTGATAATATTGAAGTTATAAAAATTAGAATATCTGAAAAACTAAAAAGAAAATGGATCCCGTATATAGTTTAGCCTTAGGTGTCCCTATAATATAGCTTCCAATTGGACTGTGATTGTTCGATCTTTAATTTTGTTTATTGTGTTTAATTGAATCTTGAACTTTATGCCTGTGCATTTATCTCAATGATAATTCAATTTTCCTGTTTCTCCATGCTGCTTTGTGATGAGGCTGTAATTGAATTAACCTGGTATCATTTTCTTGTTTAATTCTTGGGAATCAGGTCAGCCTTAGTACGCGTGATAATGAAATGTCAAGAAAGTTATCGAAGATATTGGAGGGACTTAGAATGATTGATCTTTCATATCATCAGCTGTGTCATCTTGTAAGACAAGGTGAACAGCCCAGAGAAGGCTTCTTACTTCTTGTAAACCTTGTTGAGGACCAGATCGGTGGTAGCAGTGGTTATATGGATTGGGTTCTGCAGATACATCGACAAGTACAGCAGAATCCATAGTACAAAGGTAATGACTTAAACTACTGATCCCTTCATTTTAGAGGCTGCTTCAAAAAATGTTACTAACACCTTAAGAATAAAAAATAATGTTGAGTGGTTCTATTGGCATGGTTCTGCTAATTTTTTATAAAATAGAGTGCTACGCTTGATATCTTCTTCACTGTAATGCTGCAGAGATACCAGTGGCTTGTTCTGTGCTTCATTGAGAAAGTGATCCGAGCATTTGTTCAATACCGTAAATAACCTTTGATTTCAGCCACAAGTTCCTCGCAAAATGTGGATGTTTGAGTCGCCGATAATGATCACCTTCACTGGAAAGATTTTCAGACGACAATCTGTTGCTTCACTACAGGATTCAATAACTTGGGGAGATGCACTTTTAATGATACATTGTTTTACTTCGAGTTTTCATATTGAAACGCAACAGAGCAAAATTTTATTTGATAGCTAAAATTATTGTCAGTAAATTTTTTTACTTAGTGATATATTTTTAAGAACCCTTTAGGTATTTGCTTTGTTTAGAGAGGTGTGTTCCAATTTCTTGACATTGTTCATTGTCAATTTTGTTCTGATATTTGAAGCAATGCTAAATTTGCCTTTCTGGGCTTTGAATGGATATTACTTTTGATATATAAGTGACCAGTCAATTCCCTTTTGTTACCTTTGTTGCAGAAAACAAAATGAAAATTATTCATTAAAATTTGATGATGAATTTTGAAAATTTGGAGCTGGGTTTGAATCATGTTCTAGCTATGTTCATCTCTTTAAATTTGTTCAGTATTCACCTAATTGCAGATTAAAAAAAATCCAGGGAAAAGAGGATTAAAATGTAAGTTACGGTTGGAGACTGAAAGTAGGGGGGATTTTGTTAGTTTTAAAACATTTTGAGCTTTNACTTCTAACATGTAGGTTGTGATAATTTGTAAATTAAAAGACCTAGTGATAATATTGAAGTTATAAAAATTAGAATATCTGAAAAACTAAAAAGAAAATGGATCCCGTATATAGTTTAGCCTTAGGTGTCCCTATAATATAGCTTCCAATTGGACTGTGATTGTTCGATCTTTAATTTTGTTTATTGTGTTTAATTGAATCTTGAACTTTATGCCTGTGCATTTATCTCAATGATAATTCAATTTTCCTGTTTCTCCATGCTGCTTTGTGATGAGGCTGTAATTGAATTAACCTGGTATCATTTTCTTGTTTAATTCTTGGGAATCAGGTCAGCCTTAGTACGCGTGATAATGAAATGTCAAGAAAGTTATCGAAGATATTGGAGGGACTTAGAATGATTGATCTTTCATATCATCAGCTGTGTCATCTTGTAAGACAAGGTGAACAGCCCAGAGAAGGCTTCTTACTTCTTGTAAACCTTGTTGAGGACCAGATCGGTGGTAGCAGTGGTTATATGGATTGGGTTCTGCAGATACATCGACAAGTACAGCAGAATCCATAGTACAAAGGTAATGACTTAAACTACTGATCCCTTCATTTTAGAGGCTGCTTCAAAAAATGTTACTAACACCTTAAGAATAAAAAATAATGTTGAGTGGTTCTATTGGCATGGTTCTGCTAATTTTTTATAAAATAGAGTGCTACGCTTGATATCTTCTTCACTGTAATGCTGCAGAGATACCAGTGGCTTGTTCTGTGCTTCATTGAGAAAGTGATCCGAGCATTTGTTCAATACCGTAAATAACCTTTGATTTCAGCCACAAGTTCCTCGCAAAATGTGGATGTTTGAGTCGCCGATAATGATCACCTTCACTGGAAAGATTTTCAGACGACAATCTGTTGCTTCACTACAGGATTCAATAACTTGGGGAGATGCACTTTTAATGATACATTGTTTTACTTCGAGTTTTCATATTGAAACGCAACAGAGCAAAATTTTATTTGATAGCTAAAATTATTGTCAGTAAATTTTTTTACTTAGTGATATATTTTTAAGAACCCTTTAGGTATTTGCTTTGTTTAGAGAGGTGTGTTCCAATTTCTTGACATTGTTCATTGTCAATTTTGTTCTGATATTTGAAGCAATGCTAAATTTGCCTTTCTGGGCTTTGAATGGATATTACTTTTGATATATAAGTGACCAGTCAATTCCCTTTTGTTACCTTTGTTGCAGAAAACAAAATGAAAATTATTCATTAAAATTTGATGATGAATTTTGAAAATTTGGAGCTGGGTTTGAATCATGTTCTAGCTATGTTCATCTCTTTAAATTTGTTCAGTATTCACCTAATTGCAGATTAAAAAAAATCCAGGGAAAAGAGGATTAAAATGTAAGTTACGGTTGGAGACTGAAAGTAGGGGGGATTGTGTTAGTTTTAAAACATTTTGAGCTTTACTATCGATATCAATTATAAGGGGTAAAAACAACCCTCATCTTCTTATGATATCACCTACACCCTGTATTTTGGATTAGTCTTCTTATGATGTCACCTACACCCTGTATTTTGGATTAGTCTTCTTATGATGTCACCTACACCCTGTATTTTGGTTAACTTATTAAAAACCCCATAATTGTAAAGTGATCAGTGATCACAAACCCTTTAGACTTCTTCTACCTACAAACGCACCCCTGAAGATTATAGATGGTTTTTCATTTTTACCTCGAAAATTCTCCCATACCCTAAACGGCATCCATTTCATCTCGGCTAGCTGGAACGTGTCGTGAAGCTCGATGAGATAAAATATTACGGCAGAGGCAAAGCTTACCTGTTGTTCTATTTCAATCCGAATTGTTTATTTCGTATTAATCCAAAGCTACCAACCAACTTTCCTTTCTGTTTTTTTCAAGTTCCCCACCATAAAAAGAAACAGCCTTCGTCTTTATTTACAATCCAAATCATTAAGGGTAACTACTGTTCTATTGTTCCAGTCCTTTTCTCTGTTTCGTATGCACGTGCTATTATTTCATCGTTTTCTTGTTGTATTTTTTATATTATAATTTAATTATTGTTGAAGCTGATATGGAGAGAGAGTTTCTTCTTCCTCCTCTTGTCGTTAATCTTGAAGATTAATTAGTGGGGTTGACTATTTTGTGTTGTTAATGAGTAATTCAGACATAGAGAAATTTCAGGGAAAGATGATCTCAAATTGGGAAGAAGCTTTTAATCACTTTGAAGAAGTGGTTGTTTCTGGGTCTGAGGCTATGAAAGTAAAGGCTATATTGAACCTTGTCCATGTCACTGGTAGTTTTTCTGAAGATGTGTTGGCCAGGACTATTCCAATCCTTGCCAAGATTCTTGGAGAAAATAGCAGCTGGCCTGTGCATCAAGCAGCTGCTTATTGCTTAAAACAAATTGCTTCTCAAGGCGATGGGCCTGATGGTAGGTTGGCAACTGAGATTGGTCAGTCTGGTGTTGTTTGTTGTTTGTTAAGGTTATTGCCACAAGCTGATAATGGTTTTAAAAGAGTTCTTGTTAATTGTTTAGGGAGTCTTGTCACATTTGGGAAGGCAAATCGGGTGATTGTAGCAAGGAACGGTGGGGTGGAGATTATTATTGATATGTTGAATTCGTGTAATGATGGTACTAGGAAGTATTTGTTGGAGATTTTGAGTGCGCTGGCTTTGTTGAGGGAGGTTAGGAGGGTAATTGTTGGTTTAGGAGGGTTAAGATTTCTTGTTAAGGCAGCTGAGTTTGGCAGTATGGTTTCTAGAGAGAGAGCTTGTCAAGCAATAGGGTTGCTTGGGGTTTCGCGGCGTGCTAGGCATATTCTTGTTGAATTGGGAGTGATTCCGGTTCTTGTGGAGTTGTTTAGGATTGGAGATGGTACAACAAAATTGGTGGCTGGTAATTCTCTTGGTGTGATTTCGGCTCATGTTGATTACATTAGGCCAGTTGCTGAAGCAGGAGCTATTCCCTTATATGCTGAGCTACTTCAAAGAACTGATCCTATTGGCAAAGAAATTGCTGAGGATGTGTTTTGCATATTAGCTGTTGCAGAAGCGAATGCAGTTTCAATAGTTGAACACTTGGTGAGAATTCTAAGAGAAGGTGACGATGAAGCCAAAACTGCAGCTGCTGATGTTTTGTGGGATCTTTCTGGTTACAAGCATTCAACATCATTTGTTAGAAGCTCGGGTGCAATCCCAGTCTTAGTTGGTCTTTTGAGTTATGAAAATGATGAAGTTAAGGAGAAGGTATCTGGGGCTATTGCCCAATTAAGTTATAATGAGCTAGATCGAGTAGCACTTGCTGAGGCGGGGGCAGTGCCAATTATGATCGAGTTGCTGCACGATGAATCTGACGAGCTAAGAGACAATGCTGCAGAGGCTCTTATAAATTTTTCCGATGATCCATTGCAACGGGAGCTAATATCTGAAGCAATTGGTGTTGCATCATTTCAGAGTATGCAGAATAGGTTGATTAGACTTCGCGCTTCTGATGAGCACATGGCTAGGTCCATGAGACGGATGAGCATTGACCAGCTAACATGGGACCCTGATCTTGTGTGAATTCTCTCTTAATGGTTAATACCCTCTTCAAGTTTTAATCTTGTGAAAATGTGTACAAACTACAATTGAAATTTTTTTCATTTTTATTTTTCATAGGGGCTTTTTATGGAGTTTGATTATGTTATATGCTAGTTTGAATTTGAGAAATTCCCCTGAATATTGCCATTGGAGTTGCTAGAGGATTTCTTGTTTGCATTTTGCTTCATTCAAGAGTCAAAAACTAATANCCAGGACTATTCCAATCCTTGCCAAGATTCTTGGAGAAAATAGCAGCTGGCCTGTGCATCAAGCAGCTGCTTATTGCTTAAAACAAATTGCTTCTCAAGGCGATGGGCCTGATGGTAGGTTGGCAACTGAGATTGGTCAGTCTGGTGTTGTTTGTTTTTTGTTAAGGTTATTGCCACAAGCTGATAATGGTTTTCAAAGAGTTCTTGTTAAGTGTTTAGGGAGTCTTGTCACATTTGGGAAAGCAAATCGGGTGATTGTAGCAAGGAACGGTGGGGTGGAGATTATTATTGATATGTTGAATTCGTGTAATGATGGTACTAGGAAGTATTTGTTGGAGATTTTGAGTGCGCTGGCTTTGTTGAGGGAGGTTAGGAGGGTAATTGTTGGTTTAGGAGGGTTAAGATTTCTTGTTAAGGCAGCTGAGTTTGGCAGTATGGTTTCTAGAGAGAGAGCTTGTCAAGCAATAGGGTTGCTTGGGGTTTCGCGGCGTGCTAGGCATATTCTTGTTGAATTGGGAGTGATTCCGGTTCTTGTGGAGTTGTTTAGGATTGGAGATGGTACAACAAAATTGGTGGCTGGTAATTCTCTTGGTGTGATTTCGGCTCATGTTGATTACATTAGGCCAGTTGCTGAAGCAGGAGCTATTCCCTTATATGCTGAGCTACTTCAAAGAACTGATCCTATTGGCAAAGAAATTGCTGAGGATGTGTTTTGCATATTAGCTGTTGCAGAAGCGAATGCAGTTTCAATAGTTGAACACTTGGTGAGAATTCTAAGAGAAGGTGACGATGAAGCTAAAACTGCCGCTGCTGATGTTTTGTGGGATCTTTCTGGTTACAAGCATTCAACATCATTTGTTAGAAGCTCGGGTGCAATCCCAGTCTTAGTTGGTCTTTTGAGTTATGAAAATGATGAAGTTAAGGAGAAGGTAGCTGGGGCTATTGCCCAATTAAGTTATAATGAGCTAGATCGAGTAGCACTTGCTGATGCGGGGGCAGTGCCAATTATGATCGAGTTGCTGCACGATGAATCTGACGAGCTAAGAGACAATGCTGCAGAGGCTCTTATAAATTTTTCCGATGATCCATTGCAACGGGAGCTAATATCTGAAGCAATTGGTGTTGCATCATTTCAGAGTATGCAGAATAGGTTGATTAGACTTCGCGCTTCTGATGAGCACATGGCTAGGTCCATGAGACGGATGAGCATTGACCAGCTAACATGGGACCCTGATCTTGTGTGAATTCTCTCTTAATGGTTAGTACCCTCTTCAAGTTTTGATCTTGTGAAAATGTGTACAAACTACAATTGAAATTTTTTTTATTTTTATTTTTCATAGGGGCTTTTTATGTAGTTTGCTTATGTTATATGCTAGTTTGAATTTGAGAAATTCCACTGAATATTGCTTTTGGAGTTGCTAGAGGATTTCTTGTTTGCATTTTGCTTCATTCAAGAGTCAAAAACTAATAAAGACTTTTGGTTCAATAAAATTGTAGGCTCTAAGTCTTGTGTTGTGACATTTGCAATTACAATAATCTTATCTAATGTTGACTTATCATATTTATTATCAATTTCACATTTTACTTCATGAAAATATCTTTAGACGTTAGTTTCTCATGTCTAGTATTTGTTTGAAAAATGTGTGTTCCCTTCAATGCGTTGCAACTATAAAATAACATAAAACTTTGCATAAGATGTATATATTTCTTAGCGGTGATATCACTCTTATAAGACATGACGACCGATAGTGATCATTACTTATGTAGTAATTTAACATCAATCATCCATTCATAGGTAACCCAGATGGTTAGGGCGAATTATGATAGGGTGGATAGGTTTAGACGTGTAATTTAACAGAGATTGAAAGCTTCTAGTACATATACTTAGACGTGTAAAATGGGTTGTATCGTGTTGGTGTAGCCCACTTGTTTAGACCTTTTGGATCTATCATGTTGGGCTAGCTTGACGTAAACAATGAAATTATATTCGATCAATTTACATTGATTCTAAAATTGATGACTTATCATGGCACGAATGAATTGAGTAGAGCAGCTAGGCCTTGGTCTTGTCAAGGGGTCGGTTCTCGGGTTGACTGATTTGACCAACTGATCGAACCAGTGACATCAGCATGACATATTGTTATTTGGATTTCGTTTTATTTTATTTATGTTGTTTTTTGGATTTAGATGAAATTATTTTGGAAATTTATTAGAATTTTAGAATGCCATGCTAATGTCACTAGTCCGGTTCTCTAACTTGACGATTCGACACTATTCCGTTTGTTCAACCTTGATCAATTCCGTCTAACTACTATAACTGGATTTAGGATGTACTAGGCTTGGATAAGGGTTCGATTCTCGATCGAACCAGCCGGTTCGGTCCTGGTGGTGTAGAGCCTATACCTAAACACGAATAGGCCACAAAAACATTCACAATTGAAAAATAACATAATTTGGATGATGTTTACCGATTCTACTTTGGATTAACGGGGAAGCAACATTATTTAAGGGTTTCAACTTCAATTAATCATATTATAAAGATAATTCCAGCAAGGGCGTGAAAAGAAAGCTTGATTTTGACCCATTAAAGTATTCAGAAAATCTTAAATTTCCAAAACAATAATGTTTAGATAATAATTGGTCATGAGATTATTTTTCAATAATACTTCTTGTACAAGTTGAGTTTATGTAATTTATTGACTTGTTTTTTCTTATGGAAGTATTCATTTTGGCATGAAGCCCTGTGATGATGCTGAACTTGGTGATTCTCTTGAAGCTGTAACGGCCATTCTTTATGTATTAATGTGATTCACAAGCCATTATATATTAATGTAAAGGCCATTGTTTATATATTAATGGGAATCATATGTCATTCTATATTAATGTACAAATTGTACAAAGTATCATCCTGAGATGTAACATTTTGGTATAAAATCTAATTATACATGTGCACTTGATACCTATGCAAAGCTTTCCCTAGTCCAAGTCATTCTAATTTGGTGATAAATATTATTGAAGATTGTACAGAGTAATTACGGTTAAATTCGTTTTCCCTGATATACTCTAGCAATTTTTTGGTTATGAAATTACTAAAACCCCCCTTACGTAGGGTATTTTTAATTATTTCTAAGGATTGTTGAGACGTATAAGACTTAACTATCTCTTCGGATGAATAAAATTAACCCCAAGTAGATATTGTACTTTAGGCTTAATTTGCTTATTTTTAAGCTTTACGGTAGTTTTTTATTTTATTCAAAACATGTTTAATAAAAGGTGATCGGGGGTGTTTGGGTTAGTTTGCGTGCATCTTAATTAATCTTTCAGGAGCTTCAAGTTAATGACTAGATAAACCCTCTAGTGACCACTTCTACTAACAATCTTGGGGAATAAAACTCAAGAGCTCTTGATTGATTCACCTAATAGTCTCTATTGTCTCACTCGACCACTTAGGGGTGGTTATTGACCTTAAATCTTATTCGCAAGTGATTTGAAATGTTACAACATGGTCATAATAACAATTACATACACAGGCTTTTTAATTTTCCACGAGGCACTGATTTATTTACTGATGTTAGGTTGTGGTCAAATGATCATAAGAGACACTGAAAAGCTTATATGATTTTCATAGATGATTTAGTTTTCTAGAGTTTTGGAGGTCTATGCATACCTCTAACCAGGACCATTTTAAGAATATTTGTGACCCTAGGCAAGAGTTACTATGGGGGTCTTCTAATAATATAAACATATATTAAAAAAATTATTTCAAATTTATTTTTCTTGCCTTTTGAGATTCAAAATCACTAGGAGAGGTGGCTGGCGACCGACGGGCTAATGGGGTTAGGTTGGTGGGGAGTTTTGGAGAGCAGATGTTGGAGAAACAATGGGTGGTGAAATGGGTGATTTCTAATGCTAGGATTGGTCGGAAAAGGCTTGAGAAGTCGCGGCTCAAAAGGTATTGGTGGCTGGCGATTGACAGAGTAAACAGATGAGGTATGATAGGGGTTTTGGTGAGAGGACTGAGGGGAGGAAGATGGTGGTGTTGGGGAAGGCCAACAATGTTGGGTACATGTCGAAAAGGCTAGAAATGGCTATCGCGCGTTGTGGAGTTGGGTTGCAAGATTTATAAAATCGGCCAAAGCGAGGGCTATCAAGGTTAGGAAAACACTTGGGAAATGATAGAGTGATGAACTGATGATTCTGGTTGATTTTAGTGAGAAAATTGACCAGAATCAGCTCCAAACGATCAACGGTGGAAGAGGGGTGGAGATGATTTATGTGAATGTCAAATTGTGGGATGGAATTGGGGGTGAGTAATTTGAGCCATGTAAATGATTATTTTAGCTTTTCATTATTAAAAGAAATTCAATGTGTTAATTTAGGGGTATAAATTGGAATTTATGAAACTAGATGTACAAACTTATTATTTTGTTAAACTTTGGGTAGAAATATATGTAAAAAGTTTATAATAAACTTAGGTATTTTTGCCTTTTTTTGGGGGTTCCTTGACCTAGATAAGAAATTATACACAATTTTCATTTTTATACATATTTAAAAAAAAAATTATAAAAAATTTGGGCTCCTATTTTTGGGGGGCCCTAGACAGGTGCCTAATGTCCCTACCCCTTGAGCCGGCCTGCCTCTAACTAACCAAACATGGTTACACATTATATCAATCAATTCTGTACATTAACATACACAACGTTATACTTTAGATACATTATAGAAACATATAAAATGTTAAAAAAAAAAAAAAAAAAATTGTGGGTATAATTATGTTGCAGAAAGGGGAAAGAAGGAACAATATAATTAAAGAATGGTGCATGGGCAAGAGTCGGAATCTCTACAATTTGGACAACTTGATGCATATGAAGTAAATGTAGAGGGAGTTGGATTTGTTTCATTATTTTCTGTATTCTCCATCAGTTCTTCCACAATCTCTAAGCTTGCATAGCCAAGCTTCTCTTTCAATTCAATGCACAAGTTGGCTGCATCAACTCCATCTCCAGTCACCACTATATTTTCTCTGTTTTCCAGTCTCACTGAGATTACACCTATATGATCATGTCAGGAAAGAAAATAACTCCTTAAACAACATAAAAAATGGGCAAAAGGGTGTGCATCTTTTTTAACTGTGACTTCACATACCATCTGCGGCGGCGGCTGTCTCCATGGCCTTGGACCTGCAGTTGTCACATTTTATAACTTGCACCTTAATGACTATCTTCTGCTGCACAATTGAACCGAAGAACATGGTCATAATTATATATTAACACTTCTTTCATATTATTTCTTCATAATGTTATAACTTACCTTCATATTAGGAAGCTGAAAAAGCTGTGTTGTTCAGAGTGTATTACAAATGAATTGAATGTGTCATAATATGATAAGGAGAAATTAAAAGAACTATTATATATCTACTGCATCCTATGTATAGATGTCGATACATGTGAGTTTTGCTGAATGAATAAACTTGAACATGGTGAATATCCCACTTGTACAGGGAATTTCTGTAATGTTTCAAGAGCTCGATCAAGATCCACATTTTATGGATTCTATGTATTGATACAATTCCATTCACACTGACTTAACACATAGTCTTGCTTGACTTCTAAGATATATATTCATCACTGTCATGAGTTTTATGTCAATGCATAGAATTTGATTGGAGAATCAGTAAAAAAAAATCGAATATCATGTTGGGATCACTTAGAGCTTCAGAATAGTTGTTATTTAATTGCAAATTGAGTTCATTAGAATCATATATATAATAATTATAAAGAGATAATTAACTTAATTTCGCCGCTTTATTCGTAGTTATCCTTGCATGTGACACTTTATTGGAATGCAAATTCAAGAACTCTCTTCTTTGTCTTCCAATCTTATCATACATTTAACTTTTTTTGTCTGTGATGCGAGTAGCTTGAAGTTTCTACTTCTCAGTATTAGCTAGTTCAAATTTATAAACAAGTCTGTTGAATAAATTAAATTTTTTTTTTTAATCAAGGTGTCTGAGCCAGTTTACACGCATCTTAACTAATCTTTAGGAAAAGTAGAACAATAACTCATTATCACGACTCCCTTTTTAAATCGTGGATGCTCAGATGAGAAATTAAACTTGAGACTGTATGATTATTTATACTATCTCTAATTCGCCCCAACCATCTTAGCTATCCAGTACTCGGATGGGTTCAATTTCTTATTTCGGATGGGTTCAATTTCTTATTTCACATTAAGAAGCAAGTGGATCAAGCAACAAGTACTAGATATTGTTGTTTCAGTGGTGCTTGCATGCTTTATTCTTTTTTAAGAATATGAATGTCTAGATTTTGTTACTATAGATTATTTTATCTTGTAATTTATTCTTCAAATAATACTTTAGTACAACTTAGAATTCATATATATGACCTCGGCAACTTCAATGTTCTTTTAAGGCATTGTTCGGTTGCTGAAGCCATGGAGAGATAGGGATAACCGCCATGTTCGTTGACCAACTTTTTTTAATATATATATATATATGTATTATGCTTACTTACGATCTTATTAACCATCTTACTATCATTTGTAAATGCATAGTACGGATACCATATGTAATTTTAACAAAAGTAGTAAGATAGTTAGTAACCTCGTGAGGAAACATAATATATATATATATATGTCCTCGCTAGAAGCTGCAAACTCATATTAACATATGTTTTCATAAACAGAACTTTCACAAACAATAGATAAAAGTCATTCTTGTACTGATGGCAGATTCAAATTAATAAATCATATACTAATTCGCTTTCCCTTAATTAAAAATATAGAAGAAATGAGTTTGTTCACCAATATATATATCTGCCATAAAAAGGCCAAGCCATTACAGATGAGAAGCGAAACGAATCATATATATATATATATATGTGGTTATTGTTTGTCTGAAAATAGTAAGGACGAGAAGAAGGGAAGCGTTAATATTGAAGTTGGGTTTACATGATGGTGCAGGGGCTTGGCTGAGGATCATAAGCAACTCTATATAATTCATACTGAGGTTGATAAGCATATGAATATGATGCGGGTGAAGTCGTATCTTTGTTCTCATTTTGGTTGTCCTTTTTCTCCTTCACTTCTTCCACTATTTCTAAGCTCGCATGGCCAAGCTTCTTCTTCAATTCACTTGCCAAGTCTGCTGCATCAACTCCTTCTCCGATCACCACAACTTTGTCTTTGTTTTCCCCTTCTAATGCCACCGAGATTACACCTATATAATACCACAAAAATAACTTAAAGAACATAAAAAATGGGCGAATGAGCAAATATAGAGAACAGATTTAAATGTGACTGCAAATACCATCTGCGACGGCAGCTGTCTCCATGGCCTTGGACCTGCATTTGTCACATCTCACTTGCACCTTTATAACTATCTTTTGCTGCAAAATTAAAAAAAGGAACATCATCATCATTAATACATAAACACATTAGTTTTCTGGTGAAACAAACATTAGCCTCAAACATGAAGGCAGCTAGTATATTCATCATGTTATAGCTTAATTACAAACCTTCATCTCTGCCAGACACAACCACAACCACAAGAACAGTTTTGTTATTGTTTAGAGATTGTATATGACTTGAATGTGTCGCAATATGATGAAGAATAAGAACTCCTGATTCCTATTTATATATGTCAACACAGGAGAATTTTCTAAATAGTAAACGCATTCATGCACATACATGGTTAATTTTCTATGGTAGAAGGAATATTTTAAGGTTTCAAGAACTCAAGATCCAGATTTTATGGATTTTATGTACCAATATTATGTCCATTTGCACTAACCTAAGAATTAATATAATGTCCATTCACACTGAGCTAACATAGAATCCCTTGGCTTCCTCTAAATTCAGCACTGTCATTGGTTTAAGTCGATCGTCCGGTATTGATTTTAAGTCAACAGTTTATTAAGTCAATTATGAAAATAGTAAAAAATTTCAATGATCACATGTTATGAACGCGGGGATATTTTTGTTTGATTGAAACCGAGTTTATTTAGAATTTTATAATTAGTGGAAAGGACATGACTTTCTTTAGTTTATTTGTAATTGTTCTTGTGCCATTGTATTTGTATGTTCTTTAAGCTGTAGAGGCAAGAAACTATTGACCAAGTTTGGTATCTACCAATAATGAAGTTCTACCAGACTGTACCTGGCCATATCTTGTTGAGAATGCCTACACCTAATACAAATGCAATCCTGTTATTTTATATACCATTTATTGACTTGTTCTATACAAATATTGATCTTGGAATGAAGCCATGTGATGATGCTGAACTTGGTGATTCTCTTAAAGCTGTAAAATACCATATGGCAAAGTCATAATTCCATGCTGGTGAATCGTTTTTGTCTGTGTACAAAGTATTATCTCGAGATTATGACATCCTTTTGTCTCCCTCTTTCTTTCACTAACATAACATATATTATATAAATATTTTTTTTTGATGGCCAGGGTATTTGAGCTAACTTGCGGGTACTTTAATTAATTTTTAGAATTGATTGAATATTCTATAAATCTAATGTTCCAAGATAAGTTACAAATGTAAGTAGAATAAATTTTCTTAACTGCTAGGCCAATCCTTTGAAGTTTTATATAAAGATATTTTGAATACTATGACGGCATCCTTCTTATTCAACTCAAAATGAACCAAATAAAATGATCAATTAATCTTTAATAATTCAGAGGCCTATATTTTCTCCATGACAAAGAAAAAATGTATATATATATATATTTGTATATAAGCGTATAAAATATACTCAAATTAACAATAATAAGATTTTGTGTGATTTAATTCGACCTCTTATTATATTTTTAGACCTAATCGATCAACAAAATAAGATCAGATGTATTATATATTTTAATCAATTTTGTACAGTACATACAAAAGAATATACTTTAGGGTACATTTAGAAGAACAAATAAAGTGTTGAGGAATCAAAACTAATCCCACTTTCCGATGCACAATAAAAATAAAATAATTAAAAAAAAATGGGGGGAAGGAAGAAACATTCTAATTAAAGAATGGTGCAACAGCATGAGTCAGGATCTCTACACTTTTCACAATATGATGTATATGGAGTTGGATTTGTCCCATAATTATCTTCAGTTGTCTCTTGGAATTCCTTCACAATTTCTAAGCTTGCAAAGCCAAGCCTCTTTTTCAATTTGCTGCACAATTTGGCTGCATCAACTCCATCTCCAGTCACCACTATATTTTCTCTGTTAACCAATCTCACGGATTCTATACCTATTATCATATCACAAAACACCTTAAACAACATCAAATTTGACAAAAAGGGTTTTCAGTCCTCCATTTTTTATGATCAAAATTCAACATCTAACTTAGAAACATCAAGCTTAAAATAAATTTAAAAATTAATGCGCTTCACATACCATCCATGTCGTTGGCTGTCTCCATGGCCTTCGCCCTGCAGTTGTTACAATTTATTACGTCCACCTTAATGACTATCGTTTGCTGCACCATAAAATCAACATGCATTATAATTACATAAACACATATCTAGCCTTCCTTCAATGCATGGAGCTAAACAGCAAATGAACCATCTTCCCTGGAAGAAAATGGATCAAGCAAAAGAGAGGGGTTGCAGTTTTAATCAATTTCATAGCTTACCTTCATATTTTTTTCGTCTTGTATATGTTATTGCGTAGAGATTATAACTAAATTGAACGTGTCAAAGTTTCTTTGTATAATGTAAATACATGTCAGTATTGCTAAGTTAATAAACTTGCATGCAAAGTTTCAAGAGCTCAAGATCCACTTTTTATGGATTCTATGTACCAATATAATTCCATTCACACTGAGTTTCCAACTAGTCTTTGCTTGACTTCTAATAATTTAGCAGTATCTTGAGTTCAAGTCAATTACAAGAACCAGTACAGAAAAATTCAGTAGTATCTTGATGGGATCACTTAGAGTGAGGGAATGATTGTTATTTAATTGGCAACCGAGTTCATTTAGAATTTTATAATGAAGTAGAAAGGGTATAATTAACTCCATTTCTCTGCATTATTTGTAATATTTATTCTTACATGTGATCACACCTTAAATATTATTATGCAAGATTTTATATGTGTATTGAAAAGTATGCTCTTGTTTGCTTTTCACCTTGGCTTAAATCTTTGGTCTGTGATGTGTGGATTGAGCTTTATACTTATCAGTATTGAATTTTCCCAAGTGATGCCAAACTGTGACCAGATGATAAATAGACTAAAGTATAGACCACTATATAAAATGTTCTTGAAAGATCACCATCACTTTTCAATATGAATGGAAGACTCAATTGTTTATATGAGGATGCACAAAGTTGATGAGGATCGATTTCATAAACAAGTTCATGTAAGCATTGATGGATCAATCATATACTCTTTTAGACAAACATATTAACTTATGATCAATGTTTTTAAACCCAGACTAGCCTTGACCTAATTAAGGAACCAGTTTCTCGGGTCAGACTAGTGACATCATGCTAACGTTAGCATGATGTAATAAAAATTTAAAACTTTAATAATTAATAAATTTATAATAATTAAATAAATTTCATGCTGATGTCATGTTGACGTCGCTGACCCGACATCATGCTGACATTACTAGTTGTTGAACCGGTGGTTGAATTGATGATGTGACGTATTGTTTCGCTAGTTTAACCTCGGGTCAATCCGGTCCAATAGTTAAACCCGTTTTAGCCATTTAGTGGATCGGTTCCCAGCTAGTAGGACCAGCCAGTCCAGTCCGATCCGGGTTTACATATATATGAAACTTATATATTTAAAAAGTTAGTTTAATTTTAGAAATAAATTGAAATCCTTGATACTTTCATATTTTTACTGTTTCAATGTACTAGCTTTACCTTCATGTTAATGTACTAGCCTCAAATAAAATTCTGCTGTTGTTATTTTAAGAATGTGGAGGACCAGATTCTATTATATCTTATAGATTTCTTTTACTCAAATATTCACTTTACAATAAAGTCTCGTATTCCTACTGAACTTTGGTGATATTCTTTAAAGCGGTGTTTCACAAGACAAGCCATAATTAATACAAGTTGGTGAATTTTTTTGTCCGCGTACAAAGAATCATCCTAAGAATATGGAACTTCTTGGGATCCGACCCTTCGTCGTCCTTCCTCTCTTTCTATTTTCAGTTATGTGATTCTTCTTTTTATGTGACCTCGATAACTTCAATGTTCTTTTTATCAACATAATTGGATTATTATCTATTTATTCTGTGCAAAAGCTTATGAAAATTACAGTACTTCAAGGTACAATCTGTAAGTACTTAAACCATAAAGGGTGAAGAAGAAGAGGTTATATAACTGAATTGCAGTTTACATGATGGTGCAGGAGCTTGGTTGAGGATCAATAACAACTCTAAATAATTCATACTCACAACTATTTTGATAATAACATGGTGGATATGGTGTAGTTGGAGAACTTGGACTGGAAGGTGGTTGTGTAGCTTGGTCTTCATTTTCGTTGCCTACATTCTCCTGAACTTCTTCCACCATTTCTAAGCTCGCATGGCCAAGCTTCTTGTTCAATTGAATTGTCAAGTCGGCTGCGTCAACTCCATCTCCGATCACCACTACTTTGTCTTTGTATTCCCCATCTAGTGCCACAGAGATTACACCTATATCATATCACAAAAGCAAACTTAAAGAACAACAAATTGGGCAATTGGGTCTGTTTTACATTCATTTTTTGATCAAAATTTAATACCATCTGCGGCGGCGGCTGTCTCCATGGCGTTGGACCTGCATTTGTCACATCTCACTTGCACCTTTATAATTATCTTTTGCTGCAAAATGAAATCAAATAACATCATGATCATAACTAACATGAAGGCAACAAATTCAATAAGCAAGCAAATTGTAGCAAGCTGAAAGAATGAACCTTCTTTCATATTTACCTTCATATTCGCCAGGTTATTGTACAGAGATTCTTGTTGGTTCTGTTGGTTCTACTGGAGAGTGATGAAGAAGAGTGATTTTGCAAAGGAAAGAGACGGCAGCAAGATGAAAATGAGTGCTCTGTTTTTCATTCATAGATTAAGGATAATATATGTACAAAATCAATCCACTGTTTCACCTAAAACAACCTAATGCGGTGGATAATTTTTACACATTGGAATTTTGAAATAAACTTACAACAAAACATTTCTTAATCACAACTAAACTCAACTAAACATGTCACAAAAACATCACAATAATTCAACTAAACATGTCACAAAAACATCACAATAATTCAACAAAAACATTAGCTTCAACCACTGCACTGGCTGTAACAGTAACTTGAACTCTTGGCGCCAAAAACAATTTGAAACTTTAGCTGAATATTTCTGCATTTCCAACAAATTATTACCATCTTCAACACTCGTTGATAATCTTGCTGGAAACACCAAGTTTGAGTCTTAAATTCTCAAACTTGGCTTTGGATAAAGCCTTGGTCATGATGTTCGCCACCTGGTCTTCACCCCTACATTAATGGATCAATTTAATTTTCCCATTACTTTCTGCCTCTCTCACAATATGAAACTTAATTTTGATGTGCTTGGTTCTGCTGTGTGAGACAGGATTTTTTTTCCATTGCCATGACTGACTGGTTGTCACAGAAGATCACAGTTGGACTCCTCTGTGTTTGCCTCAAATCCTCCAAGATTTTTCTAAGCCATGTGGCTTGGTTTATGGCAATAGCAATAGAAATGTATTCTGCTTCTACTGTGGACCGAGCTATGGTGTCCTGTTTTTTGGATAGCCAACATATAGCACCTGAATTCAAGAAGAAGGCATAACCGGAAGTACTTCTCATATCATCAATGCATCCAGCTCAATCATTGTCAGAGTATCCAACAAGCTGAAAATTTTCAGACTTCTTAAACCATACACTAAGATTAGAACTTCCTTTAATGTACCTCAACACCCTCTTGGTTGCCTTGAGATGAACTTTACTTGGGTTGCTCATGAACCTAGAGAAGAGGCTTGTTACAAACATTAAGTCAGGCCTAGTGGCTGTCAAGTACAATAGATAGCCAATCAAACTTCTATAAATTCCCTCATAATCTTCACAGCCCCATTATCTTTGCTCATCTTCAAGTTTACAACCAGCGAAGTGTCCACTGGTTTGTACCTATCGATGTTGAACTTGTTTAGTATTTCATTATGATATTTTCTTTGGCTAACAAATATCCCATGTTGAGTTTGACTAATCTCCATTCCAAGAAAATAAGACATTTTCCCTAGATCAGTCATTTCAAACTCATTGTGCATTGCCTTCTTAAATTCTTCCAGTTGAATTAGACTACTTCCCGTGATGAGCAAATCATCTACATATAGTGATACAATAATGAACTCCCCTTCCAGCTCTCTCTCATACAATGTGTGTTCACTAGGGCTCCTCATGTATCCCAAATTAATTAAATGATCATTGATTCTACTATATACTAGGCTCTAGGGGCCTATATTAGGCCATATAATGCCTTCCTCAATAGATAAATTTTGTTCTCCTGCCCTTCTACTTCATATCCCTCCGGCTGCTCCGCATAAATTTCTTCATTGAGCCAACGATTCAAAAGAATGCAGACTTAACATCTAGCTGATAAATCCTCCATTCAAATTGGGTTGCTAAAACAAGGAGAAGCTTGATTGTATCATGCGTGGCCACGGGTGCAAACGTATCCGCAAACGTATCCAAGAAGTCTACTTCAAATTGTTGAGCAAACCCCTTGACAACCAACCTTGCTTTATGTCTATAAACTGATCCATCTGGATTTAATTTTCTTTTGTAAATTCATTTAACTTGGATCATTTTTCTGGTTGTTGGTCTGTCTACCAATTCCTAAGTGCCATTCTTCTCAATCATGCTTAAATCCTCCTTTATTGCATTCCTCCAAGTATCTGACTTAGCAGCTTCATTATAATTTGCAGGTTCAAGTAAGGCTACATTACACCTTTCATAAACCTCTACCAGAGGTTTGGTACCTCTAATTGGAATATCTTTATCTGAATCTATCCTTCATTTTTTATGATCAAAATTCAACATCTAACTTAGAAACATCAAGTTTAAAATAGATTTAAAAATTAATGCGCTTCACATACCATCCATGTCGTTGGCTGTCTCCATGGCCGTCGCCCTGCAGTTGTTACAATTTATTACGTCCACCTTAATAACTATCTTTTGCTGCACCATAAAATCAAAATGCATTATAATTACATAAACACATATCTAGCCTTCCTTCAATGCATGAAGCTAAACAACAAATGAACCATCTTCCCTGGAAGAAAATGGATCAAGCAAAAGAGAGGGGTTGCAGTTTTAATCAATTTCATAGCTTACCTTCATATTTTTTTCGTCTTGTATATGTTATTGCGTAGAGATTATAACTAAATTGAACGTGTCAAAGTTTCTTTGTATAATGTAAATACATGTCAGTATTGCTAAGTTAATAAACTTGCATGCAAAGTTTCAAGAGCTCAAGATCCACTTTTTATGGATTCTATGTACCAATATAATTCCATTCACACTGAGTTTCCATATAGTCTTTGCTTGACTTCTAATAATTTAATAGTATCTTGAGTTCAAGTCAATTAATAATATTAAGTCAATTACAAGAACCAGGACAGACAAATTCAATAGTATCTTGATGGGATCACTTAGAGTGAGGGAATGATTGTTATTTAATTGGCAACCGCGTTCATTTAGAATTTTATAATGAAGTAGAACGGGTATAATTAACTAAATTTCTCTGCATTATTTGTAATATTTATTCTTACATGTGATCACACCTTAAATATTATTATGCAAGATTTTATATTTGTATTGAAAAGTATGCTCTTTGTTTGCTTTTCAGCGTGGCATAAATTTCTGGTCTGTGATTTCTTTGGATTGAGCTTTATACTTATCAGTACTGAATTTTCCCAAGTGATGCCAAACTGTGACCAGATGATAAATAAAGTATAGACCACTACATAAAATGTTCTTGAAAGATCATCATCACTTTTCAATATGAATGGAAGACTCAACTGTTTATATGAGTATGCACAAAGTGTGGAATTTTGAGATTGAAAGTGTTTGAAGCTTAAAGTGAAGATCTGAGAAGAAAAAGACTTTCTCTATTGATTAAAGATACATGAAAAACGCAAGAAGGGGTTGCAGTTTTAATCAATTTCATAGCTTACCTTCAATTTTTTTCGTCTTGTATAGTTATTGCGTAGAGTATAACTAAATTGAACGTGTCAAAGTTTCTTTGTATAATGTAATACATGTCAGTATTGCTAAGTTAATAAACTTGCATGCAAGTTTCAAGAGCTCAAGATCCACTTTTTATGGATTCTATGTACCAATTAATTCCATTCACACTGAGTTTCCAACTAGTCTTTGCTTGACTTCTAATAATTTAGCAGTATCTTGAGTTCAAGTCTTACAAGAACCAGTACAGAAAAATTCAGTAGTATCTTGATGGGATCACTTAGAGTGAGGAATGATTGTTATTTAATTGGCAACCGAGTTATTTAGAATTTTATAATGAAGTAGAAAGGTATAATTAACTCCATTTCTCTGCATTATTTGTAATATATTCTACATGTGATCACACCTTAAATATTATTATGCAAGATTTATATGTGTATTGAAAAGTATGCTCTTGTTTGCTTTTCACCTTGGCTTAAATCTTTGGTCTGTGATGTGTGGATTGAGCTTTATACTTATCAGTATTGAATTTTCCCAAGTGATGCCAAACTGTGACCAGATGATAAATAGACTAAAGTATAGACCTATATAAATGTTCTTGAAAGATCACCATCACTTTTCAATATGAATGGAAGACCAATTGTTTATATGAGGATGCACAAAGTTGATGGGATCGATTTCATAAACAAGTTCATGTAAGCATTGATGGATCAATCATATACTCTTTTAGACAAACATATCTTATGATCAATGTTTTAAACCCAGACAGCCTTGACCTAATTAAGGAACCAGTTTCTCGGGTCACTAGTGACATCATGCTAACGTTAGCATGATGTATAAAATTAAAAACTTTAATAATTATAAATTTATAATAATAAATAAATTTCATGCTGATGTCATGTTGACGTCGCGACCCACATCATGCTGACATTACTAGTTGTTGAACCGGTGGTTGAATTGATGATGTGACGTATTGTTTCGCTAGTTTAACCTCGGTCAATCCGGTCCAATAGTTAAACCCGTTTTAGCCATTAGTGGATCGGTTCCCAGCTAGTAGGACCACCAGTCCAGTCCGATCCGGGTTTACATATATATGAAACTATATATTTAAAAAGTTAGTTTATTTTAGAAATAAATTGAATCCTTGATACTTTCATATTTTTACTGTTTCAATGTACTAGCTTTACCTTCATGTTAATGTACTAGCCTCAAATAAATTCTGCTGTTGTTATTTTAAGAATGTGAGGCCAGATTCTTTATATCTTATAGATTTCTTTTACTCAATATTCACTTTACAATAAAGTCTCGTATTCCTACTGAACTTGGTGATATTCTTTAAAGCGGTGTTTCACAAGACAAGCCATAATTAATACAAGTTGGTGAATTTTTTTTGTCCGCGTACAAAGAATCATCCAAGAATATGGAACTTCTTGGGATCCGACCCTTCGTCGTCCTTCCTCTCTTTCTATTTTCAGTTATGTATTCTTCTTTTTATGTGACCTCGATAACTTCAATGTTCTTTTTATCAACATAATTGATTATTATCTATTTATTCTGTGCAAAAGCTGATGAAAATTACAGTACTTCAAGGTACAATCTGTAAGTACTTAACCATAAAGGGTGAAGAAGAGAGGAGATATAACTGAATTGCAGTTTACATGATGGTGCAGGAGCTTGGTTGAGGATCAATAACAACTCTAAATAATTCATACTCAAAACTATTTTGATAATAACATGGGATATGGTGTAGTTGGAGAACTTGGACTGGAGGTGGTTGTGTAGCTTGGTCTTCATTTTCGTTGCCTACATTCTCCTGAACTTCTTCCACCATTTCTAAGCTCGCATGGCCAAGCTTCTTGTTCAATTGAATTGTCAAGTCGGCTGCGTCATCCATCTCTCTCCGATCACCACACTTTGCTTTGTATTCCCCATCGTGCCACAGAGATTACACCTATATCATATCACAAAAGCAAACTTAAAAACAACAAATTGGGCAATTGGGTCTGTTTTACATTCATTTTTTGATCAAAATTTAATACCATCTGCGGCGGCGGGCTGTCTCCATGGCGTTGGACCTGCATTTGTCACATCTCACTTGCACCTTTATAATTATCTTTTGCTGCAAAATGAAATCAAATAACATCACGATCATAATTAACATGAAGGCAACAATTCAATAAGCAAGCAAATTGTAGCAAGCTGAAAGAATGAACCTTCTTTCATATTACCTTCATATTCGCCAGGTTATTGTACAGAGATTCTTGTTGGTTCTGTTGGTTCTACTGAGAGTGATGAAGAAGAGTGATTTTGCAAAGGAAAGAGACGGCAGCAAGATGAAAATGATGCTCTGTTTTTCATTCATAGATTAAGGATAATATTGTACAAAATCATCCACTGTTTCACCTAAAACAACCTAATGCGGTGGATAATTTTTACACATTGATTTTGAAATAACACTACAACAAAACATTTCTTAATCACAACTAAACTCAACTAAACATGTCACAAAAACATCACAATAATTCAACTAAACATGTCACAAAAACATCACAATAATTCAACAAAAACATTAGCTTCACCACTGCACTGGCTGTAACAGTAACTTGAACTCTTGGCGCCAAAAAACATTTGAAACTTTGCTGAAATTTCTGCATTTCCAACAAATTATTACCATCTTCACACTCGTTGATAATCTTGCTGGAAACACCAAGTTTGAGTCTTAAATTCTCAAACTTGGCTTTGGATAAAGCCTTGGTCATGATGTTCGCCACCTGGTCTTCACCCCTACATTAATGGATCAATTTAATTTTCCCATTACTTTCTGCCTCTCTCACAATATGAACTTAATTTTGATGGCTTGGTTCTGCTGTGTGAGACAGGATTTTTTTTCCATTGCCATGACTGACTGGTTGTCACAGAAGATCACAGTTGGACTCCTCTGTACAACTTTGTCTTTGTTTTCCCCTTCTAATGCCACCGAGATTACACCTATATAATACCACAAAAATAACTTAAAGAACATAAAAAATGGGCGAATGAGCAAATATAGAGAACAGATTTAAATGTGACTGCAAATACCATCTGCGACGGCGGCTGTCTCCATGGCCTTGGACCTGCATTTGTCACATCTCACTTGCACCTTTATAACTATCTTTTGCTGCAAAATTAAAACAAGGAACATCATCATCATTATTACATAAACACATTAGTTTTCTGGTGAAACAAACATTAGCCTCAAACATGAAAGCAGCTAGTATATTCATCGTGTTATAGCTTAATTACAAACCTTCATCTCTGCCAGACACAACCACAACCACAAGAAGAGTTTTGTTATTGTTTAGAGATTGTATATGATTTGAATGTGTCGCAATATGATGAAGAATAAGAACTCCTGATTCCTATTTATATATGTCAACACAGGAGAATTTTCTAAACAGTAAACGCGTTCATGCACAGACATGGTTAATTTTCTATGGTAGAAGGAATATTTTAAGGTTTCAAGAACTCAAGATCCAGATTTTATGGATTTTATGTACCAATATTATGTCCATTTGCACTAACCTAAGAATTAATATAATGTCCATTCACACTGAGCTAACATAGAATCCCTTGGCTTCCTCTAAATTCAGCACTGTCATTGGTTTAAGTCGATCGTCCGGTATTGATTTTAAGTCAACAGTTTATTAAGTCAATTATGAAAATAGTAAAAAATTTCAATGATCACATGTTATGAACGCGGTGATATTTTTGTTTGATTGAAACCGAGTTTATTTAGAATTTTATAATTAGTGGAAAGGACATGACTTTCTTTAGTTTATTTGTAATTGTTCTTGTGCCATTGTATTTGTATGTTCTTTAAGCTGTAGAGGCAAGAAAATATTGACCAAGTTTGGTATCTACCAATAATGAAGTTCTACCAGACTGTACCTGGCCATATCTTGTTGAGAATGCCTACACCTAATACAAATGCAATCCTGTTATTTTATATACCATTACTTGAATTGTTTTATACAAATATTGATAGTGGAATGAAGCCATGTGATGATGCTGAACTTGGTGATTCTCTTAAAGCTGTAAAATACCAAATGAAAAAGTCATAATTCCATGCTGGTGAATCGATTTTGTCTCTGTACAAAGTATTATCTCGAGATTATGACATCCTTTTGTCTCCCTCTTTCTTTCACTAACATATATGAAATCATCCTTATGTAATCTTGGAATCTCATTGTTATATGGAGTGGTTAAAGCTAACATACATTATATAAAGATATTTTTTTTGATGATCGGGGTATTTGAGCTAGCTTGCACGTACCTCAATTAATCTTTAGAACTGATTGAATACCTTACAAATCTAATGTTCCAAGATAAGTTACAAATATAAGTAGAACAAATTTTCTTAACTGCTAGGCCAATCCTTTGAAGTTTTATATAAAGATATTTTGAATACTGTGACAACATCCTTCTTATTCAACTCAAAATGAACCAAATAAAATGATCAATTAATCTTTAATAATTCAGAGGCCTATATTTTCTATATGACAAAGAAACAATGTAATGCTTATATATATATATATATATAAGCATATAAAATATACTCAAATTAACGATAATAAGATTTCTGTGTGATTTAATTCGATCTCTTATTATATTTTTAGACCTAATCGATCAACAAAAAAAGATCACATGTATTATTTATTTTAAACCCATTTTGTACAGTACATACAAAAGGATATACATATTAGGGTACATTTAGAAGAACAAATAAAATGTTGAGGAATCAAAACTAATCCCACTTTCCGATGCACAATAAAAATCAAATAATTAAAAAAAAAAAAAAAAATGGGGGGAAGGAAGAAACATTCTAATTAAAGAATGGTGCAACAGCATGAGTCAGGATCTCTACACTTTTCACAATATGATGTATATGGAGTTGGATTTGTCCCATAATTATCTTCAGTTGTCTCTTGGAATTCCTTCACAATTTCTAAGCTTGCAAAGCCAAGCCTCTTTTTCAATTTGCTGCACAATTTGGCTGCATCAACTCCATCTCCAGTCACCACTATATTTTCTCTGTTAACCAATCTCACGGATTCTATACCTATTATCATATCACAAAACACCTTAAACAACATCAAATTTGACAAAAAGGGTTTTCAGTCCTCCATTTTTTATGATCAAAATTCAACATCTAACTTAGAAACATCAAGCTTAAAATAAATTTAAAAATTAATGCGCTTCACATACCATCCATGTCGTTGGCTGTCTCCATGGCCTTCGCCCTGCAGTTGTTACAATTTATTACGTCCACCTTAATGACTATCGTTTGCTGCACCATAAAATCAACATGCATTATAATTACATAAACACATATCTAGCCTTCCTTCAATGCATGGAGCTAAACAGCAAATGAACCATCTTCCCTGGAAGAAAATGGATCAAGCAAAAGAGAGGGGTTGCAGTTTTAATCAATTTCATAGCTTACCTTCATATTTTTTTCGTCTTGTATATGTTATTGCGTAGAGATTATAACTAAATTGAACGTGTCAAAGTTTCTTTGTATAATGTAAATACATGTCAGTATTGCTAAGTTAATAAACTTGCATGCAAAGTTTCAAGAGCTCAAGATCCACTTTTTATGGATTCTATGTACCAATATAATTCCATTCACACTGAGTTTCCATCTAGTCTTTGCTGACTTCTAATAATTTAGCAGTTTCTTGAGTTCAGTCAATTTATAATTCAAGTCAATTACAAGAACCAGTACAGAAAATTCTAGTATCTTGATGGGATCACTTGAGTGAGGGAATGATTGTTATTTGCAACCGAGTTCATTTAGAATTTTGTAATGAAGTAAAAGGGTATAATTAACTACATTTCTCTGCATTTTTTGTAATATTTATTCTTACATGTGATCACACCTTAATATATTATGCAAATTTTTATGGTATTGAAAAGTTGCTCTTTGTTGCTTTTCACGTGGCATAAATTTTTGGTCTGTGATTCTGTGGATTGAGCTTTATACTTATCAGTACTAATTTTCCTAGTGATGCCAAACTGTGCCAATGATAAATAGACAACGTATAGCCACTACATGTGTTCTTGAAGATCATCATCACTTCATATGAATGGAGAGTCATTGTTTATATGAGTATGCACAAAGTTGATGAGGATCAATTTCATAAGCAAGTTCATGTAAGCATTAATGGATCAATCATGTACTTTGTAGACAAACCATCAACATTATGATATGTTTTAAACCTGGACCGTCTTACCCGTTCAAGGAGCCGGTTTCTCGGTCAGACTGGTGACATCATGCGATGTTAGCGTGATGTAATAAAATTTAAAACTCTAATATTATAAATTTTATAATTAAAAATTTCATGCTGAGTCATGTTGATGTCACTAATCTGACATCATGCTGACACACTAATTCTCTAACCCAATGGTTGAATCGGTGGTTGAATCGACGAAGTGACGTATTGTTTTGCCAATCTAACCTTGGGTCAATCCGGTTCAATAGTTAAAACTCGTTTTAGCCATTTAGTAGATCAGATTAGGGATCGGTTCTTGCCAGTAGACCAACCGGTCTAGTCTGGGTCCACGTGTATATGAACCTTATATATTTACAAGTTAGGTTTATTCAAATATTCATTTTACAATAAAGTCTCGTATTCCTGCTGAACTTTGGTGATATTCTTAAAGCGGTGTCTCACAAGAAAGCCATAATTAATCCAAGTTGGTGAATTTTTGTCTGCGTACAAAGAATCATCCTAATTCCTAAGAATATGGAACTTCTTGGGATCCGACCTTCGTCGTCCTTCCTCTCTTTCATATATCAGTTCTGTGATCTTCTTTTTATGTGACCTCGATAACTTCAATGTTCTTTTATCAACTAATTGGTTATTATCTACTTATTCTGTGCAAAAGCTTATGAAAATTACAGTACTTCAACGCACAATCTGTAAGTACTTAAACCAAAGGGTGAAGAAGAAGGGATTAATTGAATTGAAGTTTACATGATGGTGCAGGGGCCTGGTTGAGGATCATGAACAACTCTATATAATACATACTCATTACTGGTTGATAATACTTGATAGATATGGTGTAGTTGGGAGACTTGGACTGGAAGGTGGTTGTGTATCTTCGTCTTCATTTTCGTTGCCTGCATTCTCCTGAACTCTTCCACCATTTCTAAGCTCCATGGCCAGCTTCTTGTTCAATTGAATTGTCGTCGGCTGCGTCAACTCCACTCCGTCACCTACTTTGTCTTTGTATTCCCCATCTAGTGCCACTGGGATTACACCTATATCATATCACAGAAGCAAACTTAAAGCACACATAGGGCAATTGGTCTGTTTACATTCATTTTTTGATCAAAATTTAATCCATCTGCGGCGGCGGCTGTCTCCATGGCCTTGGACCTGCATTTGTCACATCTCACTTGCACCTTTAATTATCTTTTGCTGCAAAATGAATCAATAACATCATGATCATAACTAACATGAAGGCAACAAATTCAATAATCAAGCAAATTTGTTGATGCAAGCTAAAAGAATGACCTTCTTTCATATTTACCTTCATATTCGCCAGGTTATTGTATAGAGATTCTAAGGAATGAGTGTTTTGCAATATGTATGAAGAGTAAGACGTCAAGTTGAACCTTATTTATAATGTCAGCACATGTGAATTTTGCCGAGTAAAAGTTGCACATGGTGAATATACACCTGTGAAGGAATTTAGTAAGGTTTAAGAGCTCAAGATCCACTTTTCATGGATTCTATCAGCGAATTTCATTATACTCAAGCTATGTTAACATAGTCTTGCTTGGTTCTAGCAATTTCCAGCTTATAGTATTGATTTAAGTCATATAACTGATCACGTCAATTACGAAACCGGTAAAATTCAGTAGTCACATGTTTGAAACACTTCAAGCGCGTTAATGGTTATGTAATTGACGTTTATTCAAACTTTATTGGATGTAGAAGGTAAACGGGAGAAAGAAGAAAGAAGGTGAAGTCCATGACTGCTACTTCACTGATGGTGCAATTGGTTGGTTTTAGGATCATAAACTTGATTTACATGGACAGAGCAGGCCTAGCTAATCTTCTCTTGCTCACTTTACTGTCAAGTTTGCTGCATGCATCAACTCCACTCCAGCTCCAGCTCCAGTGGCGGATCCAATTAATGACTTGTGGGGACTAGAGTCCCACTCAACTTTTGAAAAAAGTCCATATCTTATATTTATTTAATTTTACACTTATAGAACTATGAGATTTTGGAACGTCCCCACGATTGTTTAGATTTATTTTTGTAAAACCCATTTTTAATCCGAGTACATATATTTCATATTTTTTGTGATTTTTATTTTTATGCAGAGGATCGATTAGTTTTTAAAAGTTTTATTAGGAGTGAAAAATGAAGGAAAAAAACTGTTGGGTTTGCATTTAACTGAGGGGAGAAATCTGGGCATTTTTACATCAAAAAGCTAATGTGGCGAGGTCATGGTGAGAATAGAGAATCTTGGGGTAGTTTCATAATTCAAAGAAGTTGTTTTATATATAAATTGGTTTGTTTGTAAAAAGAAAAGAAAGAGAAAAGTCCATAAAGAAGAAAGAAGAAGAAGCAAAGGAAAAAGAATGAGTTTGGTCAGTTTTATCTATTTGATTTTTCTGCACTTGAGTTGATAATACTTGAGAACCAGATTGAGATTTTGTTATTGACATACGTTCTTGTGATAAATTTGCTGAGTTACAAGGAATTGTGTTTTGTTAGAATTTAGTTCGGTTTAAAAAAGAAATTACATACGTTGGTGTATAAACTTGTGAAAGTTGCATTAGTTTTATTAGTTGTGACTGCGACTGTTGAAAGAGTTTTTCTACAATGAATCTTGTGAGAATCGGTTATCAATCGAATGAGAGTTAATGGATGAATGATTGCTGGTCATCTATATTGAGAAAAATGTTTTGATACAATTGACAATGAGATGATTATCCAACGTTTTCAGAATAGGAAATAGTCAAGGAACAATTGTGAAAAATTGTTCTACTTTTACAAAAATTATGTTTTTGAAGATATTTATTTGTATTTTATAACTTTTTATTGAAGCTCATTGTATGAAAAAGAAAGTGTAGTTATGATTGGTTTTAATTTTTTTTTGTGGTTTATTTTGCCCCCATTGGGGAAATTCCTAGATCCGCCACTGTCCAGCTCCCTCACATCTCTTTTCTCTTTGTGTATTTTAACAGAGGTTCGATGGCATTAGGATTTCAGGGGTTGTTTATTTTTTTTTAAATAGTTGGGCAAGTGATTAAAAAATCGATAATTATTCAAAAATTATGATTTTTGAAACTGAGGGAAGAATATCTCTCTCTTATCAATATTATTGAAAGAATAATTTATTTACAACTTTTTTATAAACTTACTTATATTTCGACTACCTTCGTTTTAGTCGTTTATAATAGATTTGCTTATTAATTCAACAGTCACAGAGTTTGTGAGAAAGGATATAAATTGTTTTGAAATTGTTACATCACGCTGACTTATTGAGATGTCATCTGTTATGTCATGCATATGTCATCATATCACTTGAAACTTAAGGTTTACTTCAAAACCACCCTCGAAACTCCAAAAATTTTATGCTAAATGGAGAATAATTTTTTCTCTATGGTTTCAGTTCAATACTGTTTAGCCAATTGTTATAATTTATTTAGTTCTCGTTTCAAATAATACTTTTTTTTGTTCTCTTGACTTAATGAAAGATTAGTTGGCTGCTAAATTTACATTGAAATGATAAAAATACACTTCTTATCAACAAATGAAAAATTATTTACACAAACAATATTAATTAAATTAAAAGAAAAATACACATGATATACTACAAATTCAACATATTTATTAAATTTTGATTAACTAACGTGATTGTGTTTATTTATTTCAATTTGTAGATTTTAATTTACAATTTTGGATTTGCCCTGCATAATGTGTATATATATATAATTTTATTACCTTTTTTTTTTTTTTATAAATGCATTCTTATACCAATGTTTATAAAATTTTAATAACATTAAAAAAAGTATTTTGTCATTTTAATATAAATTAAGGTCAAATACCTTTTATAATTCAAAGGACTAACAATGGTAATTTAAAACGTATACTAAATAGTAGTAGACTGAAACGATAGGGATGAAAAAGGAATTTCTCCTGCTAAATGCAAGTTTAGAACAATAGTTTAATTCCCAATTATTAAAATAACATTAAAAAATTAAAGAATTGCTTCCTATATATTTAAACACCCTTGAACAAATCTATATAATTCCAAAAATTTAAGAATATATAATATTATAAAAAATAAAAATAGAAAATTCTTTTCCAAGTCAATTGATGTCCTACAGAAACGGAATTGCTAAAGACTTCCACAAATTTAAATTCATTCATCCTTTGAATTTCCTTTCTTAATATTTTTATCGGTTTAAAACTTATTAGTTCGAACTTCGAAGGCGCCAAACTTTGGGGTTTTGAAAATTTGAAACCTTGAAGGTAGTTTAAATGCCTAAAAATTAAGGTCCCAATAAATGTTTTACTTTTATGGGTTGTTTAAAATGAAGATGAAGATTATAAGATTTGATCTGTAATAATTTAAAAGAGTAGGACATTCGGAGAAAGATAAAATGCTTTTGGGTGCAAAAGAAGTTCGAAATTCCATTAATTGATTTTTTGATTCCTTATGCCATTAAAGCAGTGAAATTTTTTTTTTTTTTTTTTTTTTGTTTGGTGTGAGAATTTTTAGAAATATTAAGAGAAAAAGTGAAATTGAAGAAGAGCAGAATCTGACACACGGCTCTTTTATAAGGCCGTTATACAAAACGCTGCGTTTCTTACATATTTTGATTTCTAACACTTTAACCCAGCTATTAAACATTACATTTTAACCCAGTGCTTCTAGCTTATTCTTGACATTTTTTATTTTTTTATTTTTTAGTGTTGGCGAGAGAGAGAATGGAAGAAAAAAGTGAGAAAGGCTCAAAGGAGATAAAGGAAAAAAATAAATAAATAAATAAAGGAAAGTAAAGAGAAAGAGAGGAGAAGATAAATAAAAAAGGATTAAAGAATAGTCTCAATTCATTATTTTGAGAGGTTGAGCCACTGACACTGTAATATATCGTTACTCATAGGGGCCGTGGGTCGGGTTGTATTATATACGAGATAATATATTTTAAATTGGGTAGATACCATGTTTGGTTGTTTTGTAAAAAAAATTCCCGAAAAAAAGTGTCAACAGTGCCAAATTGAGGGTAAATCGTCGAGAATAATGTTACCTAGGGGAGTATTATTAAAATATTACTCATGGTAGCCAAATTTTTGTCCAATTTTGCCCCAAAACAGTGGGCAATGTGGACAAAAATATCCTTGACTTTATTAATAATTATAAAACACCTAATTTACACAAGAAGATGGATTTGTCCTTAGTTTTTTAATTTTTCGGACAAAATTGCCTTGCTTATTATCAATATTTTCAGAACTACCACGAAATATTGGTGTGCCCATATTATCCTCACATATTTGCATATTGTGACCGATATGCCCTTTTATTCACTAAAACTACAATATAAAAAGAAAAAAAATTCTCAGCCCTAATACACATTTCGACTGAGACTTTGCCCTAAACCTCCATTGTTGCCACTGGTTTGCTTCTTCTTGATCTCGTTTGTGACTTCATCACTCCGATCTCCATTTTTCAGTAAGTCAAATGCCCTCTTTCCATTGTATTTTTCATTTTGGGTTTGTTTTGTGTTTGTTAGTCTAAGATCTCACTCTTACCTCTGTCGTTGGTCGCCCATCTTCACCGTAGCGCCTTGAGTCTTCGTCTCCAGTTGTTTGATCTGGACAACACTCCATTCGCCATTTCTGGTAAGTCCCTAGCCCTCTTTCCATTATATTTTTCGTTTTTAGTTTTGTTTGCGTTCGTTAGTACAAAATTGTTCATTGATGATACAAATAAATTCATACTTAATTACCTAGTATATATCGTTTACAATAATACTAGCCTTACAAACATCTCTCACTAACCCTATGTGGCAGCTCGCAATTGGCTTGGTTAGGTGGGACTTATTGTTGGGCAGGCGAGACCCATGCGAGTTGACACGTCGCATTTGTGAGATAAGTTAGTGAGAAGTATTTGTGAGTGTAGTATTACTCTATCGTTTAAACCCACATCAAATAATTGTTGCAAGAACATAGGATAATGTCTAGAAAAAATATAATCGTACTTACAGTGTGTTGGTGCTAAAATTCGCACCAATGAGATGTGTGTAGATTCCTTGGTGAAGTCTATGCAAGGGTTTGTGTGGAATCCGTGATGTGATGCTGGATCAATGAATAAATCAAAAAACAGAAATGACGAGATTTTTAAAGTGGTTCGGATACTTGATATAAACCTTACATCCATTGTTTTTGTATTGCTTTTTGTATTTGCTTCATTTTTTCACGTACAAGTGTGACTTGCAAAAGTTGGAATGAAAAAAATCCAATAAACTTGTAAATAAAGTTAACCCTAAATGGAATGATATGCGATGTGAATCTGTGCTCAGGGGACTCACCGCACAACACAGTGTAATCTTTTCTTACATTGGCTCTATTTTAATAAGCTCTTTCTCTTATAAATTTTAACTGAAGAAACCATGCCAGCAATAATCAACAAATGTTTATATATATGTTTTAAATGGGGCGTTTTTATTATTTTAAAGTTTAAAAAAGAAAAAGAAAGACTCTTAAAAAGATTTTAGACCGCATGTAAATGCATCATTGATTAATTGATACAGCAATTACGTTCTTATGATTTTATGATTCAATTCGAATTAACTTAGCCATCACGTTCACGTCTTTAATAGGAGGAATCTTTACCCTAACTTTTTCTAGTTCCTCGAGAAAGACTTAGGGCTTAGCTTAGTCATTTCATGATGAGTCTGTTCCTATGAATATATATATATATATATTAGCACAATCATGGAAGAAGAAAATGTCTATTCTTTGAGCCAGTCCAACTTTACCAAATTGAGTCATGAGAAAGAGTTTGGCCAAGAAAGATTAATAGTTGAGAGTAACAACTTTTCGTCTCTTTATCAATCAGGTGGCATTGATAGCGTTGTAGCTGCTTTAGAATCTGATCTTGGAAGGGGAATATCTGGTCATGATGAAGATCTTCGTCGCCGATATGACATGTTTGGTTCAAACCATATTGTAGAAGTGAACTCTCAACAACTTGAGAAAAGACACTTCCTTCAAGTGATCTTGAATGCCACCAAAGATACTACGGTTATCCTCCTCTTATTTTGTGCTTTACTTTCTTTTGTGCTTGAAATCAAGAGTAATGGACTTGAAGAAGGACTTATTGATGGTTTAATGATATTTGTCGTGATCTTCACTGCTTCTACCTTCAGTCAAGTTGTCAAGTTCTTACAGAATCGAAGAAATGAGAAGCTTGTAAGAACCAAAAAGCCGACAGTGACGGTCAAGAGAGATGGACGGGAGCGACAAATATCTATCTCTGAAGTTGTGGTTGGTGATATTGTATGTTTAAAGACTGGTGATGAAGTACCAGGTGATGGGCTAATTTTTCATAGAAGTGATGGATTAAAGGTAGATGATTACGATGATAATGATCATGTTGGAGATAATGATTTTCACCAGGTGTTTAGTGGTTCAAAGGTGGTGGGTGGACAGTGTTCCATGCTGGTGACTTCCGTTGGTTTAAACACAGAAACTAGAAAGATGATCAAATTGTTAAAAGGTGATCTAAATGAGGAATATGGAGGGTTTCAAATTGAGCATGACATGATGATCTTCCGTTTGGATAAGATTTGTTTGAGCCTCTCTTTACTTGTTCTTGTGGTACAAGTGCTTAGATGTTTCATAAAGAAAATTGGGTGCCGTGACTGCCAACATTTAGATCCTAAAGGTGTGAAGGACACAGCTGGGGAGATAATGACCAAGGCGACCAACATAATCAAGAGGCAAGGTGGAAGGTTAAATTTGTTTGTTGAAATGATAGCTGTTTTTATATTCGCCGTCAGGGATGGCTTGCCTTTGGGTTTATTAATCTCTTTTGCTTATGCATCAAAGCAATTTAAACGTTATCGGGGCATTGTTCAACATCTTCCAGCCTGTGGTACTCTTGGCTTTGTCACAACAATTTGCACAGACATAACTGGTGATTTGTTCCTGGAGGATGCCAAGATGGCCGGCTTCTGGATCGGTACGGATATCATTGGGGAATCAATATTGAATTGTGTCAATACTGATGTCCTTGATGCTTTGGGCCTAAGGATATGCATGAACTCTTCATCTGAGTCTGTAGATGATGAACTTTTGTATTGGGCTAAGGAGGTTCTGGGGTGTGATAGAGAGGTAATCAAGCAAAATTGGACAATTGAAGCTTCTGAAGTCCAAAACAATCGAACTGGGTTGTTGTTGAGATGGAATGGAGAAGATGGCAATAGTTATGTTAACATACACTGGAAAGGAGCTCCAGATATAATACTGTCTATGTGCACCCATTATTTTGACATAGATGGAACTTTACAAACCCTAGATGAACATAAAAGAGATGTGTTCAAGAAAAATATTGAATATATCAGAGCTAATAGTGTACAGTGTATCGCTTTTGCGTGGAAGAACGTTGAAGAACACGAAGAAGAAATCGTGGAGCTCGCTGATGATTGGTTAACATTGTTAGCAATTGTCGGCTTGAAGAACCCATATCCACCTGAGGTGAAACAAGCTATTGAAGCTTGTGGAGAGTTAGGAGTTGACATAAAGCTAATCGTGGGAAGTGACACTAACACAGCAAGATTAATAGCAATCATCTCAGGAATTCTTAAGCCCGAAGAAGATACAAACGAAGCAGCAGTAGTTGAAGCGTCTGAATTCCGAAACAACTACGAGGCGGGTGGGTCAATTATGGCTAATAACATCAGGGCATTGGCCAATGCTTCTCCATTGGACAAGCTTTTAATGGTTCAGTGCTTAAAAGAGACTCCAAGCGTTGCCACTGGTCTGCTTTTCTTGATCTCGTTGTGACTCATCACTCCGATCCATTTTTCAGTAAGTCAAATGCCTCTTTCCATTGTATTTTTCATTTTGGGTTTGTTTTGGTTTGTTAGTCTAAGATCTCACTCTTACCTCTGTCGTTGGTTGCCATCTTCACCGTAGCGCCTTGAGTTTCGTCTCCAGTTGTTTGATTTGGACAACACCCATTCGCCATTTCTGGTAAGTCCCTAGCCCTCTTCATTATATTTTCGTTTTTAGTTTTGTTTGCGTTCGTTAGTACAAAATTGTTCATTGATGATACAAATAAATTCATACTTAATTACCTAGTATAATCGTTTACAATAATACTAGCCTTACAAACATCTCTCACTAACCCTATATGGCAGCTCGCAATTGGCTTGGTTATGTGAGACTTATTGTTGGGCAGGCGGGACCATGCGAGTTGACACGTCGCATTTGTGAGATAATTAGTGAGGAGTATTTGTGAGTGTAGTATTACTCTTCGTTTAAACCCACATCAAATAATCGTTGCAAGAACATAGGATAATGTTTAGAAAAAATATAATCGTACTTACAGTGTGTTGTGCTAAAATTCGCACCAATGAGATGTGGTAGATTCCTTGTGAAGCTATGCAAGGGTTTGTGTGGAATCCGTGATTGATGCTGGATCAATGAATAAATAAAAAAACAGAAATGACGAGATTTTTAAGTGGTTCGGATACTTGATATAAACCTACACATCCATTGTTTTTGTATTGCTTTTTGTATTGCTTCATTTTTTCACGTACAAGTGTGATTGCAAAAGTAGGAATGAAAAAATCCAATAAAATTGTCAGAGTGAAATTGAAGAAGAGCAGAATCTGGACACACGGCTCTTTTATAAGGCCGTTATACAAAACGCTGCGTTTCTTACATATTTTGATTTCTAACACTTTAACCCAGCTATTTAACATTACATTTTAACCCAGAATGCTTCTAAGCTTATATCTTGACATTTTTTATTTTTTTATTTTTTAGTGTTGGGCGAGAGAGAGAATGAGAAGGAAAAAAGTGAGAAAGGCTCAAAGGAGGAGTAAAGGAAAAAAATAAATAAATAAATAAAAGGGAAAGTAAAAGAGAAAGAGAGGAGAAGAATAAATAAAAAAGGAATTAAAAGAATAGTCATCAATTCATTATTTTGAGAGGTTGAGCCAACTGACACTGTAATATATCGTTACTCATAGGGGCCGTTTGGGTCGGGTTGATATTATATAACGGAGATAATATATTTTAAATTGGGTAGATAACCATGTTTGGTTGTTTTGTAAAAAAAATTCCCGAAAAAAAAAGTGTCAAACAGTGCCAAATTGAGGGTAAATCGTCGAGAATAATGTTACCTAGGGGGAGGTTATTATTAAAATATTACTCTGATAATCCAAATTTTTGTCCAATTTTGCCCCAAAACAGTGGGCAATGTGGACAAAAATATCCTTGACTTTATTAATAATTATAAAACACCTAATTTACACAAGAAGATGGATTTGTCCTTAGTTTTTTAATTTTTCGGACAAAATTGCCTTGCTTATTATCAATATTTTCAGAACTACCACGAAATATTGGTGTGCCCATATTATCCTCACATATTTGCATATTGTGATCGATATGCCCTTTTATTCACTAAAACTACAATATAAAAAGAAAAAAAATTCTCAGCCCTAATACACATTTCGACTGAGACTTTGCCCTAAACCTCCATNAAAAAGATCACATGTATTATTTATTTTAAACCCATTTTGTACAGTACATACAAAAGGATATACATATTAGGGTACATTTAGAAGAACAAATAAAATGTTGAGGAATCAAAACTAATCCCACTTTCCGATGCACAATAAAAATCAAATAATTAAAAAAAAAAAAAAAAATGGGGGGAAGGAAGAAACATTCTAATTAAAGAATGGTGCAACAGCATGAGTCAGGATCTCTACACTTTTCACAATATGATGTATATGGAGTTGGATTTGTCCCATAATTATCTTCAGTTGTCTCTTTGAATTCCTTCACAATTTCTAAGCTTGCAAAGCCAAGCTTCTTTTTCAATTTGCTGCACAATTTGGCTGCATCAACTCCATCTCCAGTCACCACTATATTTTCTCTGTTAACCAATCTCACGGATTCTATACCTATTATCATATCACAAAACACCTTAAACAACATCAAATTTGACAAAAAGGGTTTTCAGTCCTCCATTTTTTATGATCAAAATTCAACATCTAACTTAGAAACATCAAGCTTAAAATAAATTTAAAAATTAATGCGCTTCACATACCATCCATGTCGTTGGCTGTCTCCATGGCCTTCGCCCTGCAGTTGTTACAATTTATTACGTCCACCTTAATGACTATCGTTTGCTGCACCATAAAATCAACATGCATTATAATTACATAAACACATATCTAGCCTTCCTTCAATGCATGGAGCTAAACAGCAAATGAACCATCTTCCCTGGAAGAAAATGGATCAATCAAAAGAGAGGGTTTGCAGTTTTAATCAATCTCATAGCTTACCTTCATATTTTTTCTTGTATATGTTATTGCGTAGAGATTATAACTAAATTGAACGTGTCACAGTTTCTTTATATAATGTAAATACATGTGAGTTTTGCTAAGTCAATAAACTTGCATGCAAAGTTTCAAGAGCTCAAGATCCACTTTTTATGGATTCTATGTACCAATATAATTCCATTCACACTGAGTTTCCATCTAGTCTTTGCTTGACTTCTAATAATTTAGCAGTTTCTTGAGTTCAAGTCAATTTATAATATCAAGTCAATTACAAGAACCAGTACAGAAAAATTCAGTAGTATCTTGATGGGATCACTTAGAGTGAGGGAATGATTGTTATTTAATTGGCAACCGAGTTCATTTAGAATTTTGTAATGAAGTAGAAAGGGTATAATTAACTCAATTTCTCTGCATTATTTGTAATATTTATTCTTACATGTGATCACACCTTAAATATTATTATGCAAGATTTTATATGTGTATTGAAAAGTATGCTCTTTGTTTGCTTTTCAGCGTGGCATAAATTTTTGGTCTGTGATTTCTTGTGGATTGAGCTTTATACTTATCAGTACTAATTTTCCTAAGTGATGCCAAACTGTGACCAGATGATAAATAGACTAAAGTATAGACCACTACATAAAATGTTCTTGAAAGATCATCATCACTGTTCAATATGAATGGAAGAGTCAATTGTTTATATGAGTATGCACAAAGTTGATGAGGATCAATTTCATAAGCAAGTTCATGTAAGCATTAATGGATCAATCATGTACTTTTGTAGACAAACACATCAACTTATGATGAATGTTTTTAAACCTGGACCGGTCTTGACCCGTTCAAGGAGCCGGTTTCTCGGGTCAGACTGGTGACATCATGCTGATGTTAGCGTGATGTAATAAAAATTTAAAACTCTAATAATTAATAAATTTATAATAATTAAATAAATTTCATGCTGATGTCATGTTGATGTCACTAATCTGACATCATGCTGACATCACTAATTCTCTAACCCAATGGTTGAATCGGTGGTTGAATCGACGAAGTGACGTATTGTTTTGCCAATCTAACCTTGGGTCAATCCGGTTCAATAGTTAAAACTCGTTTTAGCCATTTAGTAGATCAGATTAGGGATCGGTTCTTGGCCAGTAGGACCAACCGGTCTAGTCTGGGTCCACGTGTATATGAAACTTATATATTTAACAAGTTAGGTTTATTCAAATATTCATTTTACAATAAAGTCTCGTATTCCTGCTGAACTTTGGTGATATTCTTAAAGCGGTGTCTCACAAGACAAGCCATAATTAATCCAAGTTGGTGAATTTTTTGTCTGCGTACAAAGAATCATCCTAATTCCTAAGAATATGGAACTTCTTGGGATCCGACCCTTCGTCGTCCTTCCTCTCTTTCTATTATCAGTTCTGTGATTCTTCTTTTTATGTGACCTCGATAACTTCAATGTTCTTTTTATCAACATAATTGGATTATTATCTACTTATTCTGTGCAAAAGCTTATGAAAATTACAGTACTTCAACGCACAATCTGTAAGTACTTAAACCATAAAGGGTGAAGAAGAAGAGGGGATATAATTGAATTGAAGTTTACATGATGGTGCAGGGGCCTGGTTGAGGATCATGAACAACTCTATATAATACATACTCATTACTGGTTTGATAATAACTTGATAGATATGGTGTAGTTGGAGAACTTGGACTGGAAGGTGGTTGTGTATCTTCGTCTTCATTTTCGTTGCCTGCATTCTCCTGAACTTCTTCCACCATTTCTAAGCTCGCATGGCCAAGCTTCTTGTTCAATTGAATTGTCAAGTCGGCTGCGTCAACTCCATCTCCGATCACCACTACTTTGTCTTTGTATTCCCCATCTAGTGCCACTGAGATTACACCTATNGCAGCGACCCACAGGACTGTCAGTGGACGGTGCATCTTCTTCTTCATTATCAAAAACAAAGTTGATTATGCGGAGAAATATTATGATTCAACTTATGTATCAAGTTACCTTCTTCTTGGCCATCCAATTCAAGGGAAAAAAATTTCTCCATGCAAGTCAGAAAGTTATAGAGGGGATTTTGTTTAATACCTTAGTTCTGTGCCAGGCCTTTGTTCTACTGAATGCAAAGGAGATTGAGAAACCAAATATTTTTCAAGGTATGACATTACATGAGAGTCGTTGGTTTTTAATAACAGTGAGAGCCATTGCTATTCTGCAGGTAGGGATCATTGAGATAATCACGGCTGTCAGTAATGGAGAGAGATTGAATATAGAAAATTGGTGTGCTTGTATTGGCATAGCAGCCATGTCTATACCCATTGGCTTGGTTGCAAAGTGGACGTGGTGGCCGTGACAATCTTCTTTTTCTTCTTCTCGTTAATTTTCTTTCATATGTTTATAATAAGAGAAATGTAAGTGTAATATTAATTTGTGTAACACGTTGAATATTTCTTCGTGGAAATATAATTAAAAGTTAACCATATGGTCATTGCCTCATTGGTATGCCGTGTGAAGACTTCAATTCTGACTTATGAGCCAAACCCTTTTTCTAGAAGGCATTAGGGCTAGAAATATTTCTATTATTGTCTGCCAAATGTTGCCACTGGATTGCATTAAATCTTATCCTCTTCCCTAAATATGAGGACATTAGTAGATGGTAAAATATAGTACGGTTGGTTCGGAAGGTGTAGATATTGTGAGAAGCGAATCACTGACAATTGGATAGACCTACTTAGAAAGAGAGAACGAACGTGAAAGCTCAGGTGACACCGATGTGGTGTCTATTGTAGACACTTTGATGCTCATGTCAACATGGGTGAAGGTATTTTAGTGAGGCTGAGAGCAAGAAATGATTTACTGTAAGGTGATAGGGCAAGGCTAACACAAAGTGGCCAGACAAGAGTAACACATGGCCAGAGCATAGCTTTGTAGTGGCTAACTTTAAGGCGGGAAAATATGGTGATTGAGAGCAAGAATTTAGGAGAGCTAAAGCTTTAGGTTGCATAATGAGAGTTTTGACTCCTGTTTATATAGTGAATCAAAGAGGTTAGAATCTTAGAAGAACTCTGAGTCCTACTTTGTATGAGAGTCCCAATTAGAAAGAAACTCTTGTTCTTTGCCTTTGTCGGTTCAAAAGCACTAATTCATGTAAGATACTGGATCTTGAATGAATTAGTAAGATGATTTTGGGACGAAAGTGGGCTACTGAGTTGAAGCCTATTTTAGCTTAACTTATAGGAAGACCCACCACACGGAGTGGCCCAAATTGGCCCAGTTTGTAAGGTAGCCTTGCTCATAGAGAGATCCAACTCGTAGAATGGGTCGACCCATAGAGTATTTCTTCTTACAAATTTGACCATCCCATAGGATTGTCAATCCAGAAGATGTATCTAAGCGTAGACCCAATTGGAATTAGATTAAGGCATTGTGCCATATTTATTATGTGTTTCGTGATTGGACTTGACAAGATCTAATACGATTTTTTACCCATATAACATCAAAGCCGAAGTACGAGGACATGGACACATTATTATTAATTTTTTTTTTTTTTTTTTTTTTTTGGGTGATATGAAGATAAAGGAAAGGAGATATATATAGTGTAGTAAGTAAAGACAAAATTAATCATAAATTTTAGTGGATAATCATGATGATGTTACTGTAAAAGAGAAGAAAATTTCCTATATGCCATCAATCAATTTGCATGTATACTTTCTTAATTTATCTAAAAAATAAAACTTTTATGAATTAATTGTTGGTTGGATATATATATGCTTTTTTTTTTTTTTTTTAATAATAAGTTAGTAAAAATGATTTTAATATAAAAGGGATACAAGTAAAATTTTTATATAAATTCAAAAAGAGGTTATTGAAAAAAGACATTTTTTTTTTAATTAATAGATATAGAATAATTCATTTAATTATTTATAATTATCTCTTAAATTGCAATCCAATAACATATAAAAAAAAAAATGATGGTCTAATTAGTCGATCTTTTTGCCCAAATAGCAAAACATATAGTATGAAACTAGGCGATCAGTTTGACTTAAACTTACCTGTGTTTGAGCAAACTCCTCCCAAGCCCTGGAAAGAAGAAAAAATGACCCAAATTAAGCAAAGTTTGAGTGATTAAAAATGCATAATCAAAATTATTCTGTAGAGAGAAACGATAAATTGTTAATATGTGGAAGCATGCATGTGGTTTAACATTCAATTTTTCTTATAAAAGATGCACTATTTGCACAAAACTAAGACTAAACCAGCAGCCCAAGCCACCAGGGATGCTATGCTATGGCAAAGACAGAGAGAGAAGATGAAGAAGAGAACCAGGAAAGAATAAAGTGAGAGAAAGGGAGAAGAGAGATCGCAAATGATTATATATTGCTAGCTAGTGACACAGGGAATGATAATGGAGGTTTGATGATCATCTCAATGGTTAAATCTTTTGAATGATCATCAATTTTTTGTCAATATCATGGTAGGCTCCATGCAAATTAAAAATATTTCAGAAAACTATTAGAGGAAGTATAATCATAGATTGAGACTGTGTCATACGACAACTTTCACTTTGGGATATTATTATTGCCAATATTATAAGAAACAATATCCTATAGTGTCATGTCATGAGTCATAATTCCACCCAGGAAAAGAGAACTTCCTTTTGTTTGGAATCAACTTCCCTCACATTTGATCGGAAAATAATATAAAACTAACAAGTGTTATCATAGACCATAAAATCTACAATTGATTCAAAAGGGATGAATTTTATGAAAAACGAGTAATTGACAATAGGATGAACCTATACAAAAAGAGAAAACGAACATGAAGGTTTGGGTGACACTGGTATAGTATCTATCGTAAGCACTTCGACGCTCAAATCAGCACAGGTGAAAGTATTTTAGTGAGGGTTGAGAGCGGGAAAGTGTTTGCTACAATATGACTAGGGCTAGACTAGTACAAAGTGGACGGAGCAAAGCTTTGCAATGGCTGAATGTGGTAGTAAAGCAGGGAATATGGAGATTCTTAAGAGCAATAATTTAGGAGTTAAAGCTATGAGTGATTTCTGAATGTGTCATGAGAGGTTTGACCTCTATTTATATAAGAGTTCAAGGGAGTTTGCATCCTAGTAGGACTTTGAGTCTTACTTGGTAGAAGAGTTAGTATTAGGAAGGAAGTCTTGTGACTTGCCTTTATCAGATTAAGACTACCAATTTGAGTAAGATTTTGGATCTTGATTGAAGTGAAAAGTAAATAGGATTTTGATTTCTATTTTGGAATGACTGTGGGCTAATGGGCTAGTGCCCGATTCAACTTAATTTGTAGAAAAACCCAACTCATAGAGTGGTCAATCTACAATGTGGATTTAAGCGTAGTCTAATCGAAATTGAGTTCAGACACTGGGTCGTAATATATTTATTTCGTTAGTAGATCTCGTTAGACCCAATATGATTTTTGACCCATACAGTTATAAAATAATTAAATGAAATTAAAAATTTAATAATGTGAAAATCATACAAAACTGATACATAAATTGTATAAATTAATTTAAATGATGAGTTTATATTATATGTTAGTGGTGGCTTCAATTAGAATATTATAAATCTTTAATTAAAATATTATTATAAAATATAAAAGTGGTTATTAATTTAATGTGCAAAGCATTGTTTGTGTGCGGATTCTTAGGCACCACCTTACGAGTAATGTTACAATCATTGAAAATAGTGTATCGAATTTATGCACCGAATGACGTGATATAATCTTGATTATCGATTAATATTAAATTATAATTAATCGACGGTTATGATTATGCTACGTCATTCAGTGCATGAATTTGGTATACTATATTTGGTGACTGTATTATTTTTCCTATCCTACACACCAATCTTGAAAAACCCTTCAAACTTCTTGAAAAGGTTTTGAGGAACATAATAATGAACTTGGCAGATTGATTGGGATTATTTGTTTAACGAAAGATTGAAGGTTTTCATGTAAGGGGGGCCATATATGCTTGCCAATGTCTTTTCGTACATATGATTCTGGTCGATTCAAGGAAATAGCTAGTAGGAAGATGGTTGCCTCCTTTGGTGAGACAGATATCATTTTCTAATGTCACATGGAATAACACATTCATCACCATGTTTTAAACTCTGGCCTAATCTAGTCAGTTGAACCGGTTCAACTGGGACCCGAGGCCTTCATGGGTGGGTTTTCAATTTGACTATTTATAAAAAACCCTAAAAATTAGGATGACGATCAACAAATAATTGGTAACTAAGATGTTGGGGTTTTGAAGAGGAAGGACTACTGAGTTAAAAGGTGGCGATGGAGGTGATTTTCGGTGAGTGAAATTACTGAAAATCGTAAAAATCAATCATCGAAAACAGTAGGCTGTTACCGACGATTGGCAAGGCGAATAAGGGTGGAGTGAGATGAGTTTTGGTTAAGAGGCTAAGGGAAGAGTTTTCGTAGTGATGGAGTGTGTTGTTGACGCCAGAAACAAGCCCTATTTGACCTAGATTGTCGACGTCGACAATGTAATTTGAGGTGGTTTTGCAAAATTTCAAACTTATAAAGGCGTATGATAATTTTTAAGAAGTTTTTACTTATGTTTCAAATCTTTTACGTGATCACATCATTGATTTGACACATCAATTAAACAGATCAACCCGAAACTCAACCACTTTGTTAGGTTTCACCTTGGATTGAGTTTTAAAATACTGTTCATCACTTTGAGATGATAATTTTTTTTTTTTTTTTTTTTTTTAGAATTTTAAGATAATATTACTTTTAAATTAAATAAATTGATCTGTCTAAGCCACCTCAACATGGCTATTTCTTCGAGCAACTACTCTGCTGTCCTGGCCATATATACTTCTCTTGATCTTCTGAGGAACTACTTGTGGTCAACAAATATTATCGTGTACTATACAAAAAACTGCCATTGCTCAGATGTTGATACTTGTCTTTAGTTAAAAAGAATAAAAATAAAAAATTTACAATTTCCTAGCATAAAAAAGGTAAAATGTCAGTTCATCAATCATCTCTACCTCTCCTTTTTGTCATCATCTTCTCAATGTTTTAACCGCTGTTCATGGTGCCGTAATAATAAGGGGTGAAAAACAAACGGGTGCATGTAACTAATTTGTTATGGTAGAGTCATGACGACCATCTTCATTTTCAGCAATTACATGGTCACCAGAGGGATCATCCTCAACTCTTTTTGAGTATGCATCACCGTCATAATCGTTACTATCCCATTCATCATCACTGCTCCATTTTCTCTTCATGATTTTCGGAACCAAGCGAGTTACTTCTTTTGCCTCAAACTTCGCTTCATCATTGTTCATCCGTTCAAACCGAACAGCACCAACTTTTCTGGCATTTCCAGCTAATATCTGCATTGAAGACGAGAATAACTGTTAAAACAGCTAATCAACATATAGACTTGTTTAAGCATGCACTTCTAAGGACTGAACGTAGAAATCATTGAGTGAAATCTTATAGTGGGTTGGAACAAGACTCATCAGATTCCAAAATCCTTTTCAAATAAGCAACTAGAGAAAATCAGAACAAAATAACTTGTGTGGGCTAATTATCAAATGATAGTTCATAGGACTTGCAATCACTGTATGTATCATCCACATATATAAATTCATAGGTTATTTCAAGAATCTAAAATCAGAGGGCACCGCCTTCTTATCTTGTCGACCAGACCCATGTAATACAAAAGGTGGCAGCCAACTGATATGATAGATTGCTAGCAGTGGGATCTGAAGGGTTTACCTTTAAACAATGGAAAATATAGTTCACCATGCATGATACTAAACAAAAGACATGATGGGAAGCATGGCTGGAGCCAACGAAACAACTTTTTCTTCATCAACAGAGTCTTAAGTTCTCATTAAATATACAACATTCCCAATTGAATTAGTACGTACCATAAACAATTATTACTCAAAAATTTTAATTTTGTAAATTTGTAACAAATGTAGTTGATTCTTTTGGTACTGATAACAAGTTATATATCATAGTGTATTTTAAAAATACGAAAATGCAAAAAAAACAACTATAAATACGTCAAACAAAATATTATAAATGAATATTAAAGATCTAATAAATGTTATATTTGTAAAATTTTATGATTGTTTAAATTGGCACCTCCTAAATCATATTCCTGGCTACGTCTATGATAGGAAGTAGGCCAGATGGAGAAGAAAGAATGTAAAGGTTCTCGAAATGATCCTTGAGAACTAGGACACAATGATTCAGAAGCTAAGCTATTCCTAGAAAAACCAATATTTAATAACGTAATGTAGAGGTAAAAATATAATAAACTTGTAATCACAACTTAATGTGATGGAGCTTCCACAAGAGTAAATGTAGCACAAAAGGATCAAGTCCATACCTCGAGTTTGTAAATTAGATACTTTTCCTTCAATTCCTGGTGGTCAGATCCAGATTCATCATGTTCTTCATTTTCCTCCTGGTTTTCCTTTTCAAGGACCACTTTCATACTCTCACCGGTCCTTGGGATGTATCCAAAGGCCTCACATATAAAACCTGATACTGTCTCATACTGATGACCCTATAAAATAATAGGAAAGAAAAGGTCAACTAGTTATGAGAAATTAAGCAATCATGGACACCTAAAACAACATATAATCAAATCTAACTTCTTCAATTGAAGCATAAGATAGGAGCCCTAATATGCACGACGAAGACTGTGGGTTACAGCTTTTACCCATTGAAGTAATGCATAACTGAGCAGTTAAATAGTCTCAGATCAGTCCACAAATCACGGTAAAAGATATCAAGTGTATTAGTGTAATTAATCAAATTCTTTTCAGTCATAATGAAATATTGCTAAACTATCATAATAATGACACTTTTGCCTTTACCAGTGCTGGTCCTCCCCAATAGGGATAAAGGGGTGTTCTCAATAAAGTTCTATCCATCAACAGGTNCACTATGAAAAGAAAAGAATTAGTTACACTAACATTAAGGGGGAGGGTAGTACATCGTGCCAGTGAGAATAGTCGTCAAAAACCGGGTAACATCACTATGAAGCATTTTAAAGACACCATTAGCAGGCTCTTTATCTGCCAATTCCCGCACCTGATTCAGAATAATATCAAACGGCCAATTAGAACAAATAAAACTATTTGAAGAGATGGCTACGTCTATGGCAGGAAGTAGGCTAGACGGAGAAGTAAGAATGTAAAGGTTCTAGAAATGATCTTGAGAACTAGGAAACACAATGATTCTGAAGCTAAGCTATCCCTAGAAAAATCAATATTCAATAGCGTAATGTAGAGGTAAAAATAAACTTATAACCCACAACTTAATGTGATGGAGCTTCCACAAGAGTAAATGTAGAACAAAAGGATCAAGACCATACATTGAGTTTGTAAATTAGATGCTTTTCCTTCAACTCTTGGCGGTCAGATCCAGATTCATTATGTTCTTAGAATTCTTCCTGGTTTTCCTTTTCAAGGACCACTTTCATACTCTCACTGGTCCTTGGGATGTAATCAAAGGCCTCACATGTAAAACCTGATACCATCTCATACTGATGACCCTATAAAATATTGAGAAAGAAAAGGTAACTAGATATGTGAAACAAAGCAGTCATGGACACTTAAAACAACATATAATCAAGTCTAACTTCTTCAGTTGAAGCATAAGATAGGAGCCCTAATATGTATGACAAAGACTGTCGCAATACAGCTTTTACCCATTGGCAGCAATGCATAACGAAGCAGTTAAATAGTCTAAGATCAGTCCACAAATCATGGTAAAAAATATCAAGTGTATTACTGTGATTAATCAAGTTCTTTTCAGTCATAATGAAATATTACTAAACTATCATAATAATGAAATTTTTGCCTTTACCTGTGCTGGTCCTCCCCAATAGGGATAAAGGGGTGTTCTCAATAAAGTTCTATCCATCAACAGGTCTCTACGTATGAAATGGAATTGAGGATACTTCACAATTATAAATGTGACAGGGCAATCCTGCCACGGTAAGTACTTCACATGCTGGCTAATCAATATGCATTTTAACATAAACATCACAGTGGCATTAACAACGGCATCAACACAGCATTACTAGAAGAAACATCATACCTCTGGTATTTTGATATTTAAGTCTTCAGAGAGCTGATCAATAGATGTATTAGCATCCACATCGTAAATTCCCTCTGCTTGCATCACTCTGTAGCCAGTTTTCTTCTGGATCTCCTCTTGTTATTGAGTGATAAAGGGTAGATAATCCAAATAAATCAATATAATGATGAAAACAAACTGACAACCTATATTATGTCTATCATATAGCAATGGTATTACAAAGACAAAATTAACAGTAAGATTTACTTTTGAATCATTTTCATCAAAGATTTCACCAACAATTTCCTCAACCACATCTTCCAGGGTCACTACCTGCTTCATCCAAAAAAGATAACGATTATTAGGCCATCAAAACTGAAGGTCAAAAGTTACTTACTGAGTTACCCAAGCAACCCTTCAACATCAAAATGTATAATGAAAAACTAGTTCCAACTTAGTTTGATTCAGACACGAGTGTGTATCTACCCCCACAGTTCCACCATACTCTTTTTGAACAACAGCCATGTGAACCTTCCTAATGCGGAACTCTCTGAGAAGATTCCAAACTGACATTGAATCTGCAAACCAATAACAAAACCCTATTTATTCAGACAGATAATATAAACCAGAGATTCACAGAAAAATAAATAATACAATAAATTTCATTAAAAAAACACAGCATCAACTTGAAATTGGCTCTAAGGATTACCAAGGACGAAGTATGAGGTTTGTAGGCCATGTCTCCCACTATAGTACTTTCTAAGAGATCCCCCTTCAAAATAGAAAGATCATAATTCTGCACACTATGAGACTGTTGCATAAAATCAATAAAAAACATGGTATTAACCTCAGAGAGGGAGGAAGAGGAATAGAAATCCCCTGACCTTCTGAACATAATCCAGCAGATCCATTATATGGCTTTACAGATTTCTTTGACTACTAGCGTTCAGAAATTAAACAAAAGGACTTATATTTAACATCAAAACGTGAAAACATAGGAAAATTATAATTCATTAATTTCATTACCTGTTCTTCCTCCTCTATTGCCCCACTCAACTCTGCTCCGCGCAACATCAGCTTCAACTCATCTTCAGTAACATATGGATCACTGATAAAGAAAACATTTAAGATACATATACCGATAGGGGAAAAAAATAGTTAATAGAACATTATTTACGACAAACTATGTAATGACTCTTTCAATTAATATGTCCCCACTAATAAGAAATATTTGCCTCATATACAGGACATTGGGGCATAGCTTGATCAATACTTAAGTGGCAACATTCAAACAAAATCCTAAATCCGTTTTAATAACATAATACAGTCAAATAAAATTGCTCTTGTAATTATTAGATGATTAGACTCTTAATTTTATTACATATATAAATACCACTTAAACCTCTGCTTCGTTGCTAGTAACCTACTGCCCCATTCTAATGCTAACTTCCTTCTCTACATAGCCTTAAACATGATATGAATAACTTCATACAAATATAACTTTGTGTCCTGTTCTTTTGCTACCCAAGAAATACTTTTTTGAATATAACTGAAAACCATTTGGTTCATTCAAATGAGTTGTCTAAAATCACAACAGACCAAGAGACATGACAATTTGATGGACATGGCTAACAAATGAAGTATGATGTGGAAGATACAAAAAGATAAAAAAAGAAGAGCAATGATTATCTTTTCACCAAAAAAATAAAAGATAAAGATCAAATACCTTCTTCCATTCAAACCAAGAGCTTTTAGCATTCCCATTGATAGATATGCAACAACTCTTCCCACAGGGTAAAGTACCAAGGAAAGCCATGCCACTGGCTTGACCTAGAAACATTGCAAAGTCAAATAGAGCTCAGACAGTAACATCAGCAAAGCATGGAAAATTTGCAGAACTACGTTAAGCATGAGATTGGGGAAAAAAACAAGGGAAAGCCAAATCTACTAAGAATTAATAGAGATGTCCTTATTTAGGTTGAAGAAAATGAAATATATAATTTTTAACTTACCACAAACCTAGCAACCTCTGTGGCATTATGAACATCAATACTTTTTGGAGTAATTTCAGTGAGAAGTAACACGGCGACCTAATATCATTCAGGAAATGGAAAACCGGTTAAAGAAATTGAAATAAGGTATAGACATCTTAGTGTATCTGCACAAGTTTTTAATTCGCAGAAAACATGAATTTTGTTTCAGTAAGAACAAATACTCGGTTTTATGGCAGCCTATACGTTGTGCAACCCTAACTTAGATGTCAACTATAACCACCGCCTGGCATTTCAATATGAGTTCATAATAGAATCTATACTTACAGTCATTACTCCTGTTGCTGTCCTTAAAAGAGAGAGAAAGTCATGCCTACAGTCATTACTCTTGTTGCTGCACTGACACCAGCCTCACCAAATAAAGCTGTTGCTGCCTCTCTGACCAACGCAGTGGCTCCAATATTTGCCACACTGAATATGTGAATTGAATCTATAAAAGAATTAATTTTCAAACTCAAGATGGAAAGAAAAGAATCAGTTACACTAATATTAAGGGGGAGGGTAATACGTTGTGCCAATGAGAATAGTCGTCAAAAACCGAGTAACATCACTGCAAAGCATTTTAAAGACACCATTATCAGGCTCTTTTTCTGCCAATTCATCAAATGGCCAATTAGAACGAATAAAACTATTTGAAGAGATGGCAATCATCTACTTACACCTAAAAGTACCATATGATCTTTCAGTTAAACATCTTTTATGCTGAATAGGTAATGTGGTCTAGAGTTTAAAGAGCTTGTCCTCATTTTATTAGTCCATATATTCTCATTCGACTATTCCTCAACTTCAGCAAACTAAAACCCCAAAAAGAGAAAAAGCATTCACAACACCTCAACGGAACACAGTCTAATATTATACCCAACATAATGTAATTGGACTTTATAAGTACATTAGGTAAAATAGCACTGGAATAAATATAATTTGCTTTTCAAAATAATAACACAATGTGCAATAAATTGTTCTAGACTCCATAAACCACCAACATCAAAATGACACCAAACTAAGCTAATACACATCCATGGCCAGAATGATAACAAACCCTTAAATGCATAATTTGTGACAACACAACTACATAAACTTCAAACAAACACAGACTAGCTCAAGAACTTTATACCTTCCAAGGCCGAAGCGTGGTGATTGATGTCTCAGCCATTGAAAAGAATGCAGACAACCCCAAAAGCGCAGCCAAAACCAAACCTTGCTCTTTAAACACTCTCAAAACCTGAGAAACTTTAGGGCAAGCATTCTTCAACAACAATATGCTCAGTCCAATAACTCCATACCCTACATTTACTGCACTCTCCACAGCAAAAACTCTCTTGCAACCAAAAACAAAAACCCCATAAACAAGTGCCCCTAAAACAACTCCCCCTTTCATCAGAATCTTAACTTTCTCTAAATTTGAATCCAAAACTCATTTTTTTCACGACCTAGTGCTGCAGTGGCTTTGTTTATTGGTTTCATGTGGGTTCTAGTGTCAGAAATTTTGTTTTTCGGCAATCTATAGATGTGAAACTTTGGATAGTGATGAATTCTGGGTTAATATAACATGTTAGGACTAAACAGATTTGGAGATAAATATGTAAAGTACAATGTTTCTTCGTATAACTCATTGACTAAAAACTCCCATGAATGCAAAGACTAAAATTCAAGAGCTTAGTAGTCAAATGTTCTGCTGGCAAAAAGTTCTCCTCATGCAAAAGCTTAAAAATAAAACACTTACAATAGAACAAGTAAATTTAGCAGAAAATGCATTTTGTTGAGTAGAAAAAATATAAGCTTACCATCAACTGGAAGTACTTTACAACACAAATAATAATAAATAAATTATTCTTTCGAGCAACAATTGAAGCATTTTTCGTTTAGGCTTTTCTGGAAAATGTCGATAACAGAGTCCTGAAATATAATAAACAAACCATGCTGATTCAATCGGCTATACTCTTTGCTCTTGTCAAGTACCTAGCTCTGAAAAGAAAGAGAAGGCTAAAAAATTAATGGTAGAGTTTATATTCAGGTTCTCTCAAAAACATAAAAATATATGCTGTAAAATCGAAACACTCACCTTGTTAAGAGCAGCGCTTGAGTCACTAATTTCTTCTTCTTAGATGGGTTCTCTTCACCCTTGCTATGATTTTGAGCCTCACTCTTTCAACCATTAATACAAACCATAAAGGTTTTCCTATTGTGAATACAATGTATCCCATAGACAAGCCTATTACCAATGCGGATCCGTAACCCATCAAAACAATTTTCCAATCAAACCAGCTCAAATCATCGTCTCCTTCATGGTAGATGGACGATGTTGGTGATAATGGTACATCATTACCATATTTCTTTGACAATGGGGATCCACACAACCCCAAGTTTCCATTGTAGGAGTCATTTTGAAATGTATTGAATTGATTTCCTTGAGGTATAGATCCCACAAGCTTGTTGTATGAAAGATTCAACACAGAAAGAAATGTCAGACTTGCCAACTGATTAGGAATCTCTCAAACAAGCTTGTTGAAGGAGAGGTCTAATGATTCAAGTCTAGTCAAATTTTCCAATAATGGTGGAATATGACCTCTAAGGTTATTATGAGAAAAGTTGAGGATTTGGAGGAAATTAAGCTTTCCGATTACTGTTGGTATTTGCCCTTGAAATTGGTTGCTTGACAAATCCATCATTACAAAAATGGTTAGAATCTTGTCCATTTTTCTATCAACGCCTTTTATTGTCAAACTAATGGAATAGTATTGAACATACATCGGCCTTTTCCAATAAAGGGGGTCATATACCCCTGGATCTTCTCTCATATATTCCAATTCACCTTTAGGATTCTTACCACCCATCATATTAAATTTCTCAAAATATCTTGTTGGCAAAATACCTGTGAATTGATTCGCAACTTAGGAAATGCTAATCTTGTCTTGGGTTCGCCAATGAAACCATGAAATCTATTAGATCTCAATATCAGAGCTTGCAATTCTGGAAGTTTGCTAACCATTAAGGAAAAGTATCATTGATCATGTTGTTTCCAACATTTAGAACTTCCAAGCGACTACAATTAACCAAAGTATGTCGTAATGACCCTTCCAACTTGTTGCCATGATTATATTGAATGAAGTCATTAGCTAATGATTGTGGGATGGTACCACAAAAATTGTTCATTTGCAGATGCAAGATTGAAAGTGTATCAGAGTTTCTTAGACATTGAGGTATGATTCCACTCAATCCATTGTAAGATAGATCAAGATATGTAATAGAGTTCAAGTTGCAATTTGTTATGCCTGGAAAATCAAGGGCTGACGTGGGAAGTCACGTGATGAAGTGTGACCTGCTCCCGTTAGAACGGTAAGTGCACGTCAGGTCTGCCAAACGCTATGGAGCTCCCACGTGTCCATTTCCCTGTAATAAATCGCGTGAAATCAGCTTGGGAAGTGGGCAATGGGACATAAAGCCGGATTATGTCCTGACACTCACACTAACCCATGGATTTAATGATGATTACAGGCCTTCATCTCGTTATAAAAAGAAGGAGACCCCTTCATAAGGGGATTCGGCCATTTTTACACTTGAACTCTCTCTCTCTCGAAAACTTTGTATTTACTTTTCCTAATCATTTGTAAGTCAGTTCGCTGTTGCGACCTGACCCACAATACTAATACAGATCAGTGGACGTAGGACTTGCTACCTTAGCATCCAAACCACTTTAAAAAGCTCTCATTGCATTTATTTCACATTTTCGATCCATAATCACGTGTGTCTCTTGACCAATCAACGTTACGCACGTGTCAATTAGTTGGTGTTAGAATCACGCATCAATAGTTTGGCGTTAGAAGGAGGGCCTGATTTAGTGTTCATCCTTCATCAGGGGAATCTTCAACCTACTGGTCCTACAGTAACAAATGGCCCGCCAATATGAACCTGAGCAAGCCAACCAGCGCGTTGAGGGAGTCCCCCTAACCCACGGGGATACCCCTTCCAGGATAATTCCAGTTTCACAAAATGCTGTGGGAGATATCCCGACAGCTTCGCAGCTTGACCCCGCCATCAGAAGCTACCTGGAGAGGTTCGACAATACTTTCTAGACGGTCAACTAGAGGCTGGACTGTTTGGACCAAGGCATGTCACCTACAACAGCTGGGGTGGTGCAACCGCCAAAAACGCCTGCAGGTCGCGTGAAAGCACGGCAAAGGGAAATAGCCCATGCCGCGAGCACTGCAACGCGTAGACGTAAGAGTAAGCAAGTGGCAAAAAGTAAGCCTACGGGCTCCCAAGGACCAGCGAACACAAACCGTGCCCCGAGTAGGGTGCCGGCAAAGCTGAGACTCTGCGAAAAAGTGAATCCCGAGCTGTCCCATGCCACGTCGCAGGTGAACCCAAGCAAAGGTGTCGAGCGCGACAATTCCTATCACCGCCAGCAGAACAATCCCCGATTGCTATCATGCGGGTGGTCCCCACACCTCGCAGGGAGGTTCCTACCACTGCGAGGGTCGTGAAAATGCCCCGTACAATCCATCACCTTCACACGCCTCTAGTCAGCATGTGTCGAGTGTGGTCGAAAATACCGGCCGAGGCGAAGAGGAGTCCGACCTCCAGACTTTCCTGAACCGTAATCGTGAAGGCCAGACTCACATGGGTGAAAGCAATCCCTAATTCGCTCCGTTACCACAAATTGAGGAGCTATAGTGAGCTATGGACAGGTTAAGGGAGCAGCAAAATGAACAAGCCCAGGTCGACCATTAAAGGGCAAGCTGTTGCAGACTTCATCTCAGAATTTTCCTATCTCCCAAGCGAGCAACAGCCTAGCAAAGTCATACAGGAAAGTATTCAGAACCTGTCGACCTGGAACCTCTACGTCGACGGGTCATCGAACAGGAAAAGAGCCGGTGCGGGTCTTCTCCTTATAAGCCTCGAAGGGGCTCGAATTCATGGTATTCTCCTGTTTGGGTTTAAGGCGATCAACAATGAGGCTGAGTATGAAGCCCTGCTTGCCGGATTGTAACTTGCCAAAGAGTTAGATGCAACCGCGATCAGCATTTATAGTGACTCCATGTTGGTCATCAACCAAATTTTAGAGGAATACCAAGCCAAGGAAGAGAACATGGTCCGCTACCTGAAAGAAGCTAAGACCGCTCTTGGGTCGTTTAAACACTTTGAAATCACTCAGATCCCCAGAGATAGCAATTCTATAGCAAACGCCCTAGCAAAGATAGCCTCGTCGTTGGATTCAGAGGCTCCAGACAACATTCTTGTTTGTTTCGTGGATGCTCCAACTATTAGCTTGGTCGAATAGGCTGTAAATGTGACTCAACCGGATTCCTGGATGACTCCTATTTTCCAGTACATCAAGGATGGGACCTTGCTAGACGACAAGGTCGAGGCAAGGGTCCTGCAAGCAAGATCTGCTCATTACACACTCATCGGGGACCAGCTATATAGGAGAGGATTCAGTGCCCCTCTCGTCCGATGTGTAACCAGTGAAGAAGCAGACTACGTCATGAGGGAAATTCACGAAGGGATCTGTGGTAATCACACAGCTACTCGATCTCTTGTGAACAAGGTTGTTCATCAGGGATATTATTGGGCCTGGATCCGAGAAGATACGCACAATTTTGTCAAGAAATGTGATAAGTGCCAGCAGTTCGCGAACATTCCGCGAACCCCCTCGCACGAGCTGATAACGATGTCTAGCCCCTAGCCATTTTCCATGTGGGGGATCGACCTTATCGGTCCCATGCTAGTTGGAAAGGGGGGGGGGGGGGGGGAAGTATGTCGTGGTCGCGGTAGATTATTTCACAAAATGGGTCGAAGCTGAACCGCTAGCCGCGATCACGACCAGAAAGCTGAAAGACTTCGTTTTCAAGAATATAGTGTGCCGTTACGAAATTTCCCACACCCTCATCTCGGATAATGGAAAGCAATTCAATAACGAGGAGTTCAAGCAGTTCTGCGACGAGCTGGGCATCCGTAAAAAATTCGCCTCAGTCTCCAGACCACAAGCAAATGGCCAAGTTGAAGCTGTCAACAAGACCATCAAGCACACTCTAAAGGCTAAACTTGGGGCAGCCAAAGGAAATTGGGCTGATGATCTCCCCGAAGTCTTATGGGCGTACAGGACAACTCCAAGAACCTCTACCTCAGAAACCCCTTTTTCGCTAGCCTATGGCTGCGAAGCAATGATTTCTGTAGAGGTGGGAACTAGTTCTCTTCGGAGAGACTTGTACGACGAGGTTGAAAACGAAGCACTTATGAAGGCAAGTCTTAAGAGCACCGCAGCAAGGCTTCGCTAAGGATAATAGCCTACCAGCAACATGCGAAGAGGTTCTTCGATTCAAAGGTCAAGCAAAGAGACTTCCAGGTTGGAGAGCTTGTGCTAAAAGAAGTTTTCCTTGGAACCAGGGAGCCAAGTACGGGGGTACTAGGACCTAACTGGGAAGGTCCGTACCGGGTTGACAAGGTGATCAGACCGGGGACTTACCATCTCAAAAGGTTGAACGGTTCCAAAGTACCCCGAGCTTGGAATGCCAAGCACCTCCAGCCATACTATCAGTAATCCAGAACTCAACTCTCAAATTAGTTTTTGATTTTGTTAGTCCCCTCTTTGATGTAAAGTATTATTTTGTTCGCTAGAAATAGTTTGCATGTATTCTGTCCGCTTGTAACAATTCGCATGTAATATTGCCTATGTAAAACTGAATTGTAAACTGCACTTATGTATGATAAAGCGAACATCAATTGAAAGCAAAATGTATTTTCATTTATTTACAACAAAAATTGTTTAAAAACCCTATTTTGATGGAGTCAGCCTCATTGTACTATGGCTGGTTAGGGGGACACTTCAAAGTAAGACCCAAACCCTCTGCCTGGTCGGATGTTTGGGTGGCCGCTGTTGCTTGATCGCCTTCCTCTGCCAAGATCCACAAGGCCTCTTGCTACCCCTCTGGGAGGTCAGAAATATCCAGATCTGGGTTCTTTGGTCACAGGCTATAAATGGACCCGATTGCCCAGTCGGCGGCCTTATCCTCAATCTCCTTTGACTGGATCTGTATTTCTTCAGTCAGTGAAGCAATTTTTTCCCGACTCTCCTGGAGTTCGCCCTCAAGAGCTTGCCTTTCCTTTTTGGAGGCCTCCCTTTCTTGTTCAGCTCGTTGAGCTCACATGGAGGTCGTTTGAAGCTCCTAGTCCTTCTCTCCGACCTCTTTAGAGAGCATAGCGGCTGTCCTCTGAAGCTTTTTTACTTCCTCCGCACATCGTTCAAGCTCTTCCTTTTGGAAGTCCACTGTCCGCAAAGCGGCATCCTTTTGGTTCAGGTACCTGTTCGCCACTTCAAATGCTTGTGTTCTTTCCGCTTCGACAGACTCCAGGCTCTGTTTGAGCTTCGCGACCTCCTCCTTTAGGTCGCTTGCCCCCTTCGCGGCCCCCAGCCGAGTCTTCTCCATAGACATCCTCATCGCAAGCAAAGCCTGCGAGCAAGAAGTGAATTAGAATGAAAACGGCGACAAACTTTAAGAGCAGTTCGTTTACCTTGCTTAGATGCTAGAACGACGTGGTCATCAGGTCATCGCCCGTATCGGCGAACTCATCATATGACTCCGATAGCCCACACTTGAGTAGAGAATAGACTATCGGCTGCAGGTATTTGGGTAGGCTCCCCAACAAGTCTAGCCTGGTACGTCCTTTGCCTTGTCGGCAGCAATCGCCTCGTCGGTAGCAATCACCTCGTCTGTAGGTTCCTTGCCCGACCTCCTTCTTGAGTCTTGTCGTGACCTTAACGGCTCTTCCTCATATTTGGTCTCTGATTTGTCGACCTGAATTTGCTTCCTCTTCTTTGACCTCTGGGCCGTAGCCTTCCGCCTTGGGCGAGTAGGTGGTGGTTGGGTGACCTGTTTTATCCTGGTCGTCTCTTGCTTAGGCTCACGGCTGTTCGCACTGGCTGTGCTGTCATAAGGCAAGTAGCTTCGGCCGCCCTTTCTCTCCTCGATAGAGGGAAGATGAATAGTGCTTGCTGGGGCTGCTCGGACTCTTTCGGAGGCATGGTCGCTGCATGCAAGTACATTAGTAACTAGACAAGTTATTCTGCGACCAGAAGAGAACTTACCTTCTGGGGGCTCCAAAGACGCGTTGTTACTAATGAAACCATACTTTTGCAAGTTTGCGGTCGTCACGAGCTTCCTCGCGTCTCGGCTTTCCTCGGGAAGGACTCCAAAAGACACGAGCCTGTCCGGATCATCAAGCAGGTTTTGGCTGGTCATCTTGTTAACTGCAAAAGAAGGCAGGTCGTTATGATAAAGCAAGTGAATAGACAATGAACCTAGTGAAGAAGAATCTACTTGGTTTCTGAAAGCGGCAGTAGCCGTCATAGCAGAAAAAGAAGAACTTTGTCTCATAGGCCCCCGCGTTGCTGGGATAGCTATGTATCCCTTCGACGATGGTAGGTCGCTGGGATAAGTAATAGGAATCCTTGTCCTTACTCTTTTTAAGATAATAGGTGATGCCGAGCTCCACTGCCATTAGCTCGCCCAAGCCACTCTCGCGGCACGCGATGTATATCGCGACAGCGATGACATACGCGTTTGGCATCAACTGCATTGGTGCGATCCCAAAGTGATCTAGGACCGACCTAATGAAAGGATGGAAGGGAATCATCCCTCCACCCTTGAAGATCTCTTCGAAGATCGCAGCTAGGCCATCGGAAGGATGCTGCGATGACCAGGTGTTGTCGAGGAACACCTCTACATGGACGTCGAACTGTCTTTTTATCCTATCGAACTCGTCTCGGGTGAGAACCGAGAAGACATCAAGGGATGCGTCCGCAGGAACGTCCCGCGAAGACAAACTGGCTCCTTCCTCAGGTCTGGACGTTGACGGTTCCATTCCGTAGTCTGCAACACCGACGAACAGGTCATTTTAGCCATCGCATGTTGTCCCGCACAACGGCATGGGAAAAATCCCTTAAACCCTAATAGTAACTTGAGCCGCCATCCACGGCTCGAATCCGATGACAGCGTCATATCGCTGGTGAAACACCAGGAGACCCGACGCCATTGC